GGAGGAGGAGGGAGTCGAAATGGAGGAAATGGGAGGAAACAGGGCCGTAGGGGCCTTCGAGGGAAGCTTGGTTATGTGCGTCAATGGCGGAATTGGGGGAGGAGAGGGTTTGGTAGAGGTTGGAGGACCAAATTCCTTCGCATTTGATGACGACGGAGAGTGAATCGGCGTCTGAATCCGCGTTGGAAGTGACGGTGAAGGGGTGCCATTGGAGCTTGGAGATTGTGGGGATGTTGATGAACATGGTGCTTGTTGGGTTGTACTTCAAACCTAATCAACACAAAAAGAAACCAAAATCGAATTTTGCTCAGAGATTTATTCAGACAGTTTTTAAAGTTAGAATGATCCGTCACTATGGTAAATGAAGTTAGTTTTTTTTTTTCATTTTCGTTGATTTTAAAATGTTTGTTTTTATCTCTGTACTTCTGAAAATGGACTACTTTGATCCTTTTATTATATTTCTAATATCATTTTTTCTAGTATGAGTAGAATTTGTGTTAAATTTTTGAAAAGATGGACCAAAATAATCACTTTTTAAAATACAAAAACTAAAGTTGAAAGGACAGTAATCAAAACGAATATTTTAAAAATAGATGAACCAAAATGAAATAAAGTTGAAACAACATAAAAAGTTTAGAAGTCTTTGAATCCAGTTAAGGGCCAGTTAAGGGTAGAGTAAAAAGGAAAAGATTTGAAATTTTAGGAAATTATAACATTTTTTTTTAATATTTAGTCTAAGACCTATTCTTAGACCCCACTCTAGAAGTTTATGGATCATCATATAAGAACATTAAGATTGGAAACTTGAAGAGTTAAAAAAGGTAAAATTTTGCCGTACTTGGGTGCTTGGAGAAGTTGAGCTCTAGAGTACGGCAAGGGAGGATGCGAGCGGAGAGTAGACGAACCCGACGACGAGATTGGAGGAAGCGGAGGTAGCGGTCGAGGAGGAAGAGGTAAAAGCCAGGAAGCATGATGCAAGCATAGGAGATACCAACATGGAAGATGAAGAAGACAACGAAGAGAATGTAGAGATAGTGAGTGTAGAAGAAAGCCTCAAAAAACTTTCTCCGAATTCGAGTGAAAGTTGTCGCCCACATTATGAGTCCAAAAACTAGAGCTAATTCTCCAGCTACGTTTGATATGTCTGTTTTTGACCATTCAAGCATCTGAACAAAGATTCAAATTCAAGTTAGTTTATTTATTATGACTTCTAAAATGGTTTTCAAAATTTACATAATTAAAAACAGATTTTTTTTTTTTTTATGTTTTTTCTTTCATTTCTTTTTGGGTGTGTGAGACTCTGAAGTGGGCCTAAGCAAGATGATCCAAGTGGGCTTTTTAGGCCCACCCCACTTCTGTGAAGTGAAGTGGTGATCTTTTTTTACTACTTGTTTGACTTTTGGTCTTACAACAAACTATTGTATGAATTACATATTGACATTTGTGTGTATTTATGGGTTAGATATTCAACCTCATCAGAAGTAAATTGATATTTCCATAGTCTTACAAAAAAAAAAAAAACGAAAATATGAAAAATATAAAAAAAAAGACTAATATAGACGTGATATTAATATTAATCATTTTAAATTCTTTAGAAATGTTAAAATGCTTATTTGTTAATTTAAATATATTTTATGATTTTTTAAATTTTTGTACAATTTTCAAAAATATCCACATAAAGATCTCAACATTTTCATCGAAATCGACATTTAAAACTTTGCAACAAACATGCAAATTTCCAATTGACAAAGACTTTATTTTAAAATAATATGTAGGATTTTTTAAAGTACAACAAATGAGGCATGGAATATGAACTCATGACCTGTTGATTAGAGAACGATGTCAATTACTGCTGGGTTAAACTCATGTACAATAATATGTGGGTGTTTTTTTAGTACAACATGTAAAATATATGTCAATTACCGTCGAACTATGCTCGCTTTGACAATAATATATGGATGTTGTTAATGAGTGGTGCTAAAATTTAATAAAAAAAATTAATGTGACATTAGTATTTAATAGATATGATGTTAATACGGCACAAAAAAATTATATGAATTTACTAACCGATTAGTTCTTTCTTAGACAAACAACGGAAAACATGAAGGGTGAAAGAAAAAGATCAGATCAGATGATCAAGAAGACTAAGATAAACTTTAAAGAATTTTTTCTTTTTAAAAAAATTCAAAAATACAAGAGAACGTTTATTTGATTGATGAGTTTTAATATATTATAGTTAATATAAAATACTAGAATTTAAAAAAGCAAATGAGTTGTGAAGTTATAACAGATATTTTAGTTCACTTGGAACAGAAGGAGAAATAAAATATAATAAGAGAGAAAAAAACAAGGTTGATTAGTCCATAAGAGATCATAAAAAGTTTCTTTATTAAGTCTTATAATATTTTGATTGGGGATGATAATTGATACTAAACTTTATATGTAATTAACCCATAATTAATTAAGAACTAACATTAATTTGTCCACCTTATGCATGATTGAATATTTAAATAATTTAATATGCCTTCAATCATGGATGAAATCATTAAGTTCACATCAATATCCAATAAAATTCGGATTGGATAAATAAATAATTGGATATATTTCACAAAATCGTCAAGAAATTTGCTAATATTAATTATCCTATCATGACAACGAATTCTAGAGCTCATTCGTTAACTCTACGTCTCCAAAACAATTTTATGTTTTTTCAGGATATAATTGAGTGAAAAAACTATTTTAATAATATGTTTCTCTTTTAATGAAGAATAAGGTAGAATTAATTTATACATTCCACGACTTATAATTCCTTTTAACATTATTAAATCATAAGTATATTCTCTCGTTCTAAAATTGTGTACTTATATTTAAATTTTTTTTAATAAGTATCTTTGAACTTGTAATTTCATGTTTAATAGATTTGTAACGTCAGTTCGGATGCTCGTTTGAGAGTTTTGGATTCTGATACCATATTAACATTTATGCTAGTTAAATTTCATTTGCTTGAGTTAGAGGTAATGATGATATGGTACCTGAGAAAGATTATGAGTAGCGGTCCAATAGATGACGAAGCAGACGCCATGAGCGGAGAAGAAGGCCAAGGTCATATGTCCGAGCCAAATGTGGTACTTAATACAGCCCTCCGAGGTGAGGCCAAGCAGCGGCAGCAGCGGCGACCCACGCGCCACCGGAAAGAAGAGAAAAACTAGACATATATTCCCCACAATTCCCAGCCAAAACGCTGCACTTCCCAGTTTAATCTCCCATCTGGTCCAAATTATGATGTTAATATTATTTTTAGTTTCCCATGCAGTTACTTAAATTTGCAGTTAAGGCCATGTGAAGAAGGGATTTTCTTACTCTTTCTCGGCGACGAAGCTGTTGTGTAAATATGTGGCCAATGACCAAACAAGAAGCGCCATGAACATGGCCACCAGCGCCACCTCCGTCCATGACACTATCCCCAGAGGCCCTTTTACAATCGCCGGCCGTCTCCACGTCGCGAAACGGCGGCCGCTCTTGCTGAACCCGATCACAAGGATTCGTTAGTAATTAAGTTTGTTTGATAATGTTACCATTGCTATACATCTCTAGAAGCTCGGTTTACGAGGTACCCGACAAATTTGGATTCCTATACATGATTTTTTTGGTGGGATTGTTGAAAGCGAATTTAAAAGTAGACTTTGCTTTGATTTTTTTGGTGGGATTGTTGAAAGCGAATTTAAAAGTAGACTTTGCTTTGAATAATGTTTATGAAAGGTAAAATATAGTAATTTGAAACTTTTGAAAGAGAAGAAATATTTTTGAAGAAAAATAGGACAAAGTTGAGGAGTATTTTCCGTAATTTAGACTTTCCAAAACTATATATAAAACTTTGATTACCTGATTTTTTGCATGTTTTGATCCTTACATTTGCGTTCCAAATGAATGTAAACACAGCCCAAAACAGCGATGAACAAAATGGGAAACGTGTAAATCAAAAGCGTAGTCCCTGCATGTGCCAAAAACAAAAAATATGAGTCCCAAAGATCAACATAAAAATTTTAACGTCAAACGAAGTTCAATTGGTTAAAACATCTATCTCAGACCAAAAAATCGTGAAGTGAATTTAAGTCTATAAACCTTCTGATCCGAAATACTCAGAATAATAACTCTTCTGTCGGATTTTGGGAAGCCATTGGTGCCTGTAAGTATTGGTGGGCATCATGATCCATATCAAAAGCCACCCCACGAACACCGCCAACGCCACACCCCTAATCACACGGCTCCACATTCTCACAACATCCATTTTCCTCTCTCTCTCTCTCTCAAAAGTTTGAAACTTTTTATTTTCTTAATCAAAACTATGGAGAAACCACAAGTGAAATGAAGATTATTTATAGGAATTAGAGAATGTTGTGAGGCGTAAGCAATGTTTTATAATAATATTTTGATTAAGAAATGCTTTTCGTCTATTACTTTTATTGGAATAACAATTTAGTCTTTTAAACTTTAGTTCGTAGCAATTTAGTCTTTTATTATGTAACAATTTAATCATTGTAGTTTAAAGTTTGTAAATTGTTATACGATAAAAAGGAATACTTTAACTTTGATAAGATTTTTCACGATAAAAACTAAATAGTTACAAATTTTAACCACAGAAACTAAATTGTTACATATTAAAGTTTAGAGATTAAGTTGTTATCCATTTGAAAGTACACGGACTAACATTACAGACTAAAATTCAATAAATAAATTGTTACTTCAGTGAAAGTGAGGTGAATCAAAATTGTTTGCTAATTTAATTTTCTTTTTCTCATTTTAAGTATGAGAAATTAAAGGAAGCATGGTTCATGGCTTTGATTATTGCATGGTGAAAGCATTATATCATGGTGATTAATGGAGCCGTCCAATGGTATGTCGCCACGTGTGAGGGGTGGAGATTGAGTCGACTTTCTATGGAGAAAAGTCAGCCATTGGAGGAGTGAGGATTGAGCACACACAAAGCAATTGCAAGAATCATGCAGGAGATCTTTCTTCACACACACACAACTTGTGATGACTGCATCATCATAGGCAGCATCACATCATCATATACTATAATTATATAATATAGTATATATAATTAAACATAAGTGAATGAGAATGAGAATGATTTCAGGGTTTTATTAGTGAGATTTGCTGACTACATGAATGAGATTTTATATTAAATTTTGCTAGGGGAGAATGTTGATATATATATATATATATATTTTTTCAAATGAAGATTGTGAATTTATGGTAGGCTCAATTGCTTAACTTTGAATATAGATTCTATTATTAGTTAATAGTATACTTAAGTTAACAAATTTCTCCCTACCCTCCGGGTCCAAATTCGGAGTCTTCAAATTATAGCTTATGAATTTGTTTTATCTTAAAGTGTTGAAGTTGCTGAATTCACGAAGCACATCAAACTTCTGACCTTAATTATTCTCAAGTTATATATAGTTATATTTATATATCAATAGACCAATTCAAAATAAAAACTTTCCAACTTAATTAGAAACTAATACAAAATCATCAAAGTTTAATTAATACAACTGTGAGTCCCAAAATTCTTCTCTTTTAAGTTCTTAAATTGAAAAATGGAATTAAATTATGAAGAGGCAATAATATGGGAAACTTGTTGGGTTTTAAAAGGGATGATGGGTTTGTCCAAGTTAATTAATTAATGTGTGCTTAATTAAATTGTGGGGTGATTAAGAAGGGCACGTGGGGTTCATTGTGTGGTTAGTGCATTCAGCGTGGCTTCCACGTGCACAACCCGACACTTAATGAAGCCTAGTCACACTTACACGTCGGATTCTCAATTGGGCTTACAAATTCCATATAAAACTTCCATTTTTCAGAGTTCATATTATTTTGGCAAATTTGATAAGGATATCGTTCTTTCTTTTTTTTAAAGGACGTGAATTTTAAATTTCCACTTAGGTTTCATATTTAATTCAACCTATCATCTTATTTATAATTGGATGATTCCTAATTCGGAATAAAACATCTAAATCAAAATAATATCTAAAATTAAATTCTAAATCCCAAATCATATCAATAAAATCAAATCGATTCCTAAATCATATCAATCTAGTCTACAATTTATACTATCATATCATAATATAGAATCGAGGGCATTGCCTCGTAGTTTGCACCCGACTAACGTATTGATTTCAAAAATTGAGAAGGAAATATAGTTGTAGAAGAGAGACCATGACTTCTAAATAACTAGCAAGTGGGAAAAGTGGCCCTGCAATTCCATGCCATGGATATTTGATTATTGAAACCGACATCTAATTTTTCAACTCCCAACTAGGAGTTGACTTTACAAGAGTATAAATTGTTGAAAGTGTTATCTGTAAATATAAGCTGCTATATTTACATCAACATTATATAATATATAACATTTAATTTTTCCAAATTAAATATTCAAATATTTTATATTGTATCTATTTAGTTATTTTTATCGTGCATTAAAAAAATGATAAAAATAATACTTTTATCCATGTTTGGAAAAAAAAAAAACGGAAACTAGATTAAGAAACCAGAAAACTTGATTTTGTTGTTTCTAATACAGAAATATTTCTTAAAAAATGAGAAATTAAAAACAATAATATTTATCAATGTTTATATTTCTCAAAAATTGGAAAGGAGAAATAAGTATCAAGAACACAGTACCGTACCAAAGGAAGTCCTGTGAAATAAATTTCTAACAAAAATTCTATGCTCTGAAACCCAGTTTGTATATGATTTTAAGAATATTTAAAAAATGATAATAATAATTAAGAAGTGTATTAGAGAGGGCTACTAAATACATTTATGCCCTAGTAAACATCAACATTTCTTGAAAAACAAATGCCCTTCAAATCAAGAACTAGAAGAGCAAGGGTTAAAGATTTCACAAGTTTTCTTTTACCAAGTGATCATAAAATGAAGAAATTATAAGCAAACAAATTTATTAAAAAAAAACATCCTTTCATGAAAGGATCCATATCGCATCTTCAGATTATTCGCAAAAGAGAAAGTCTAGCATGAAAAGAGAAGACTTTGTGAGTTAGCCGCAAAATAACTGCCTACATATGAAATAAGTGTCGATCAATTAGAGAACATAAAGTTCAACAATCTTCATGAACTTTTGTAGGCAAGTCATTTTTGGCTATCACACAAATGCTCTTATCTTCTCACACTATACCTCTCTTTCCTTTTGCTTCTTCTTTCAATATAATCTCTCCAGTATCAAACCTTCTCCCTAGTATTCCAAACTTTTCTCGAGAGATTAGAAAAGACCTAACATGAAAGAGAAAAGTCTATCAAGTCAGCCAAAGACAACTGCCTACAAATACGAAACTTAAAGTGTCTTCGTACGAAGAAACTTCCATTTTTTTACAAGTTTTCAAAGTAGGCAAGTCATCTTTGGCTTACTAAACCAAGACTTTAATATCTTCATGCTAGATCCATCTTCCTTACTTGAAATTTGCTTGAAAATTTTGAGCATTGGGACTCCATTTTTATACACAAAAAAATATTCAACCACATGGGGTGAAAGTTATAGTGGAATATATTCTCCTAAAGTTGCATTATGGGACCTAAAATGATATTTGATGCTTTTATTTCATTTCCCTAGAGTCAGCTGTTCGTGGTCGTTTAGAAAAAAAAAAATTAAAACAAGGGTTTTTTTTTTTCCTCAACCCAAATATAATGCACTTGGAATATGCATAAATGCTTAGCCCTAGTTGGCTGCCATGGAGGCTACTTTTTTCATCACGGTATGAATGGTTACATTCGATATATAGCTTAAGGTTAGTTTATCGCCTAACACGAGTATAATTCAGTGATAATTAACACTTACTCCTCTTTTTTTGAGGTCGGGAGTTAAAATCTCTATACTCTCAATTTGTTATACTTAAATAAAAGAGAGACTAGTTTATCGCAATTTCTTTGTTATGTTAAAAAGAAATACGTGAAGGAAAATTGTTGACTTTAGTAATAGTAATGATATCTTAGAAAATGTAACCGTATATTATTTGGATCAAATTGAAACTTTTAAACTCTATAAAAGACCAAATGAAATCAAGGATAGTCCATTAAAATTAAAATAGGGTATAACTTAAACTAACAATAAGAAATAACGGTGTGAACCAACTAGGGAAATTTATGCATAGGGCGTGTATGAATTTAGAAGAATAAGACATTTTTTTAATACCACAAGTGAGTGGCATTCGAACTCATGACTTTATATGGTTAGAGACATGTGCCAATTACCGCTAAGATAAGCTCATGTTACCACTTATAAGAATAAGTTTTGAAGGTGTTGAGGTAGGATTTTGTCAAGCTATCGAAGTTGGCCACATGGCAACTGGATGAGTTGATGAGGTGCAACCTTAAGCAAGATAGGACCTACAAAAGGGAAACATACACACTTCGATGCTCAAGTTAGTAAGGCGCAAGCTCAAGTAGGTCGTTCTTGGAGCAGAATTGCGTACATGATGAATGAAGATCATTTTATAGACAGAGTGAATGGGCATGTCCGTTATGACCGTTACAATAAGACGGTTGGACAGTTATGGACAGTCGGACCATAAGTCAGTAATGTATGAGGTCGGCTATTCATCCTTTCATATGGGCAAGTTTAGGAGTTCGGTGGTAGATTGAGCTTAGGAGCTCGACAATATATGAGTTTAAGATCAACTCAGCGGTAGCTAGATGAGCGTAAGAGCTCGACTATGGATGAGTTTAAGAGCTTGGCGGTAGATGAGCTTAGAAATTCGATCATGGATGCGTTTAGGAGCTTAATTAGCAGCAGTGTGCTTAGAAACTCGATCATATCTCGCCCCATGGTAAGTCATATTTTTGTGCCGAAATGATGGCAACCTTATTTTTTCAATATCTCAATCGTTGACTCTCAAAAAGGTTAAATTGATTGTAGTCGCGTCAATTTATACCGTAAAACATTCATAGTTGACTTTGAAGAGGGGCTCTAATTTTTCCTAGGTGAACTGAGTTGACTTTAAAAAGGTAAATTGTGACATTTTATTTTAGTCAATGCCACTATGCAACCTTGAAGAATATATACATATTCCTCATCCCATGCAGTTGCCTTTTATAGGCTATAAATGTAGGGAGACCACCAAACTCAAAATTGTCAAAGCATTCCATTTTGAGAGGGGAAGATAAATCTAACATGAAGATACGAGTCTTGTTTCATAGCCAACGATGACTTGTCTGTTGATTTAGCTTTTTAATAATTTCAAGTTTCTTAACTACAGAAACTCTTAATTAGTTATATTATAGGCAGTCGTCTTGAACTAATTTGACAGGTTCTTATCTATTATGTTAGAGTTTTTCTTCTTTTTATATAAGAAAATGTTTTAAATCTTTTTTTATCAAGAAGGGCTTGGAAAGAAAGATGTATCGTGAAGATAATAGTATTGTTTGATAGCCAAAAATGATTTGCTTACTATTTTGACGAGAAAAATTCATAGTTTTTTTTATTTAAAACCTATGATTCATCTTTTACATTCTCTCCCAAGGAACTTGTGGAAGATAATATTTTTTTCTTCTATGCTGCACTTTTTTTTTTCTCTTTTGTGACAATATATAGTATATTTTAAAAGATGTGTCTAGTTTAGTCTAATTCACTGATCACCTTTCTTTTTTTTTGTTCGGTACTCATGTAAATATTTTGAAAGTTTAAATATCAAAATAGAGAGTAAACTTGAAAACTTGAAAAAAAATAAATTTAAACTTAGTTTTTTGAAGGAAAAAAAATTAAATTTTAATATATTTTTACATGAGTCAAGTCATGTATAGTTGAAATATCTTATTATATTCATAGCTCAAATATCTTTATCTTATTGTATTGTCTTTTAAAAAAACACTCGTATTGACATTAATATGAACCTAACTCAACGATAATTTACCTATAGTTTTTTATTAAGATCAGTTTGATCACACCATATATATCTTGTACTAAAAAAGCCAAAAAAAAAAAAAAAAAAACGAAACACTCCCGTTGGCAGTTGTGCCAATTTTGGGAAAAAGAACCCTACTTTGCTCGATCTCAAATGGCCTCCCTCTGTAACTTGAAGTGGAGTCTAATCTCACTGCACCCTTTCACCTAGAGCTCAATTAAGATGGTGCTTCTAGATCATCCATCTGGGTTTCTCTTAATTCGCCCAACCCATGACTGAATCCTACATTTTAACCCATTTCGGAATCAGTTCCACGTTCTGTTTCGGTGTCCCCCCAATTTGATCCGCTTCTTTTTTACAAGCTTCATAGAAACCAAGAAAATGGCAAATTCTATGTGCTTGATCCGGCAAATGGCTGTGAATTCACACCCTCGAAGAAAGCTCTGTAGTTTCCCTCTCCAAAATACCAATTTCCCCCAAATCGCGAATGATGTTTGTATTCATTTTATGTTCTTCTCCACCACAAACACACCCGATCGAAATGATGAAACTGTTCACGAAATCTCCACGATTCTGAAGCGTAGCGATTGGCAGATCCTCTTAAACAGCCAGGACAATCTGAGGAAGCTAAACCCAGAAATCGTCCGCTCTGTTTTACACAAGAACGAAATCGGCGACCCCGTGCGGCTTCAAAGCTTCTTCTATTGGTCCAGTTCGAAAATGGGTACTCCACAAAACTTGCATTCTTATTCGATTCTCGCAATTCATCTCTGTAGTTCAGGGCTTTTCCCCCGTGCCGATAACTTGTTTGAGAAAATGCTTGAGACGCGTAAGCCGCCATTGGAGATTTTAGAATCATTGGTTAAGTGCTGTAGAGAGTGCGGTGGGTCTAACTTGATTGTTTTTGATATTTTGATTGATAACTTTAGGAAGTTGGGTTTTCTGAAAGAGGCCTCTAGTGTTTTTCTAGCTTCCATTAATGGCGGGTTTCTTCCCAGCTTGATATGCTGTAATGGTTTGATGAGGGATTTATTGAAGGGTAATTTAATGGGCTTGTTTTGGAAGGTGTATGGAGGTATGGTGGAGGCTAAGATAGCCCCTGATGTTTATACTTATACTAATGTGATCAATGCATATTGCAAAGTTGGAGATGTGGTAAAGGGCAGAATGGTTCTTTCTGAGATGGAGGAGAAGGGATGTAAACCTAATTCGGTCACCTACAATGTCATTATTGGGGGTTTGTGTCGGACCGGAGCTGTTGATGAAGCTTTAGCGGTAAAAAGATCAATGATGGAGAAGGGGTTGGTTCCGGATGGCTATACTTATTCTATACTCATTGATGGGTTTTGCAAACAGAAGAGGTCAGAAGAAGCAAAACTGATATTGGAAAGTGTGCTTTATTCGGGTCTGAATCCTAACCATTTTACCTACACTGCTTTGATTGATGGGTTCATGAAGCAAGGGAATATCGAAGAGGCATTGAGGATCAAAGATGAGATGATTAGTCGTGGACTTAAGTTGAACGTTGTAACTTATAATGCGATTATCAGGGGCATCTCTAAGGCTGGTGAGATGGAGAAAGCAATGGCTCTTTTCAACGAGATGCTTATGACTAGCGTAGAACCGGATACTCGTACCTATGACTCGTTGATTGATGGATATTTGAAATCCCACGACATGGCAAAAGCTTACGAGCTACTAGCAGAGATGAAAGCAAGGAATTTGATGCCATCGTTGTTCACTTATAGTGTGCTTATCAATGGCTTTTGTCGTTCTGGTGATCTACAAAAGGCTAATAAAGTTTTAGAGCAGATGATTAGAAACGGGTTGAAACCAAATGCCGTTATATACGCTACCCTGATTAAGGCTTATGTCCAAGAAGGTAGATATGAAGGTGCAATAGAAGTCCTACGAGGGATGACAGCAAATGGGGTCCTGCCTGATGTATTTTGCTATAATTCTCTTATAATTGGTCTTTGTAAGGCCAAAAAGGTGGAAGAAGCAAAAATTTTGCTTGTGGATATGGGTGAGAAAGGAATAAAGCCTAGTGCATATACTTATGGAGCTTTCATTAATATATATAGTAAGACAGGTGAAATCCAAGTGGCAGAAAGGTATTTCAAAAACATGTTATCTTCTGGTATAGCGCCGAACAATGTAATCTATACCTCGCTCATTGATGGGCATTGCAATGTCGGAAACACAGTACAAGCTTTGTCAACTTTCAAATGCATGCTTGAGAAAGGGTTGATTCCTGACGTCCAGACATACAGTGCACTCATTCACGGTCTCTCCAAGAATGGGAAAACGGAAGAAGCGATGGGGGTTTTCTCTGAATTCCTTAACAAGGGTTTGGTGCCCGATGTTTTTATATACAACTCTCTTATATATGGTTTCTGCAAGAAAGGCGAGATTGAGAAGGCATCCCAGATTTATGAAGATATGTTTCTTAAGGGAATTAATCCGAATATTGTCATATACAATACCTTGATTAATGGACTGTGCAAGCTTGGTGAGGTGGAGAAAGCAAGAGAATTTTTTGACAAAATGGAAGGAAAAGGTTTGAGTCCCAATGTTGTGACTTATTCAACAATTGTTGATGGATATTGCAAATCTGGAAATATAACTGAGGCGTTTAAACTGTTCGATGAGATGATATCAAAGGCAGTTTCTCCAGATTGTTACATTTACTGTATTCTCGTTGATGGTTGCTGCAAGGAAGGAAATTTGGAGAAAGCGCTTTCTTTATTTCATGAAGCGCTGCAGAAAAGTCTTGCTTCCCCCTCTGCTTTCAACTCTTTGGTTGATGGTTTCTGCAAACTTGGAAAGGTTGTTGAAGCAAGAGAGTTGTTTGAAAATATGGTCGATAAACAGGTGACACCGAATAATGTGACGTACACAATTCTGATTGATGCATACTGCAAAGAAGAAATGATGGAGGAGGCAGAGCAGCTTTTTCTAGATATGGAAACGAGAAATATTGTGCCGAATACTCTTACATATACTTCACTTTTACTCGGTTATAACCAAATCGGAAACAGATACAAGATGATTTCTGTGTTCAAGGATATGGAAGCTAGGGGAATTGCCTGCGATGCAATAACATATGGTGTGATGGCTGATGCCTACTGCAAGGAGGGAAACTCTTTAGAAGCCTTAAAGCTGCTTGACGAAAGCTTTGTGAAGGGTATAAAGTTGGACGATGATGTGTTCGATGCTCTAATTTTTCACCTCTGCAAGGAAGAAAATGTTTCTAGAATTCTGAAATTACTCGATGAAATGGTGGAAAAAGGACTTGCTCTTAGTTCTACTACATGTACTGCTCTGTTACTTGGTTTTTACAAGGCAGGTAATGTAGACAAAGCTTCAGAGGCTCTTGACATTATGCAGAAGTTGGGGTGGGTTCCAGCCTCTTCAAGCTTAGTCGATTTGATAAATGCTGGGAAAAACGATATGATCTCCGATAGCTTCCCGAGTACTGCGATGCAAGTAGGGTCGGTGTAGTCCGATTACTGGAAAACTGTACTGGCTGTTTGAAGTGTTTTCACTTATGCCTCATTGGAGCAACAAAAATGATGGCCTAAGCATGCTGCTAGTGAAGTTCTACTGTCAATTTGGCTACCATCTGACTTGGGGAAGTAACAAGCTTTCGGATATAGAATCACTCACCTTTTGTTCAGTCACCGAACCGAGAAATGAAAGACTGACATGGAAGGAGAAAAATCTGCAGACAACCCAACCCACAAGGTCCTCTTTCTTTTCCTTGTCCTCTAAAATTTGTTTGTACTTCACAATCAGAAATGTGTTTTTGAAGTACTATTTGCTGAATCAAGATCCACGCTTCTTCCATTTCATGTTTTTTTGCGAAGTTCAAATTCCTCATTTGGGTTTGTAAGGCAATGCAACGAGTCAGTGATGATTGGTCCTGGCTAGTTCATCGGAAATGGCAGTATGCGACAGCTAACGATGCTCGGTCCTGGCTAGTTCATTGGAAATGGCGGTATGCGACGTTATTACACTGTAACAATTCATGGAAAGTTCCAACGGTATGCTTGCTTTATCAGTCTCTTGATATGAACTATAGTTGCTTTATATCTTCTTTTTTTGCTTAAACTTAGATTTGGGAGGTTTTAATTTCAGGTTTGAGGTGGTCTTAAGCATGGATTTGGAATGTGGGCTGTTTCTTTGACATGAGAATAATGCACTCAGGATTCAAAAATATTACTGTTTCAATAATTTGGAGCTGCCATGATAAATAATATGGATACCAAATTATTTTATCTATATAAAATTGTTTCATGTTCATAAATTCCTGGACTTGTTGATTTGCTATCATCAAATGTCTTGTATTTACCTTATTAATCTCTCAGAATTATTTCTTCTAATGACGAACTAATACAAAACAGAAAAAACGAGCCATCATAAGTAAGAAAACATGTATAAATTGTATTCTTAGTCGGAGGGTCAAAATTAACTTTCAATTTTTTTTTTAATAATTTTTCATTTAGCATCGAAAATTTCGAGAGCAAAATATTAAAAAAAAAATTTATTTACATATTTGGTTAAAGGCATTCATTCTCAACCAAAAAAAAAAATTAGATTTTATGTTGAATTAAAAAAAATAATGGAAAATCAATAAACATTATTATATATTAAAATTCAGTTTATTATATATTGCAGTAGGCCATATCTTCTTAGAACCGTAGATTTGACCTGTTTGGTAATCCTATTTTAGTCGTCGAAACTCGTCCACATGGACTCTTCTCATAGGAAGCAACAAAAATATCTCGCCACTTGTCATATCATAAAATATCTTCCTTCCACTTTTTTAGGACAATCTCACAACTCACAACCATTCTTTCTTAGCTTCTCTTATCTTTTTGAAAACTAGGAAAATGCATGCTCCATGGCTTCCTCTGTACACACCCACAGTTGCAACAAGACACCATCCAATTCCAACAAACTTGGGTTTCTGCAACTCTTCTACTTCCAGGAAGCTTTATGGCAACACTCTGTCATGCAGGGCTTCTTCTTCAATCACAGACTTTGATCTTTACGACCTCCTCGGCATCGACAACGCCTCCAATCCATCACGGATCAAGGCAGCCTACCGCGCGCTTCAAAAGCAGTGCCACCCCGATATCGCCGGTCCTGCTGGTCATGACATGGCTATCATTCTCAATGACGCTTATTCAGTTCTCTCGAATCCGAATTCTCGGTCGGCGTATGATAAGGTCAAAACTCAAAACTTTGATGAGTTTAATTCGTGTTGTCTTTTGATAAATGTTGATGAATAAACCACCACGCAACCAAAAGCTTAAGCTGATGAGTTGGGAAAATTTAATTCATATATTAGATATCTAACACGCCCTAATGAGTGGAAATCATTATAAATGAAGAGGAAATAACAATGGAGGGATTCGAACATAAGACTTCCGGCTTTCATACTATGTTAAGGATGAATAAACTACTACTCAATCCAAAAGTTTAAAATGAGGAGGAAATAACAATTGAGGGATTCAAACATAGGACTTTCGGCTTTCATACTATGTTAAAGGATGAATAAACTACTACTCAATCCAAAAGTTTAAAATGATGGATTAAGTAAATTTAGTTCATATATCGGATGTCTAACAAAAAAAAATGGTGTTAACTTCACAGGAACAAGCAAAAATGGCAGAACTTCGAGGTTACACAGGGAAGCCAGTTTATTCAGTATGGTTGGGAACGGAAAACGAACAACGAGCGGTTTTTGTAGACGAAGTGAAGTGCATTGGCTGCTTGAAATGTGCTTTATTTGCTGGGAAAACTTTTGCTGTTGAGTCAGTTTATGGGAGAGCTAGAGTTGTGGCACAGTGGGCTGATCCTGAACATAAAGTTATGGAAGCCATTGAAGCTTGCCCAGTTGACTGCATTTCGTGAGTGCTATGCTTAATCAAACTCTTAAACTTGTTAAGCATTCAAATTTCCTCTATCTATCTCTGTCTCTCCAGGATGGTGGAAAGGTCAGACTTGGCAGCTCTGGAGTTTCTAATGTCAAAGCAACCGCGTGGAAACGTACGAGTGGGAATGGGCAACGCTGCTGGCGAACGAGTGTCGAACATTTTCGCAGACGTGAAGAAGTTCCAAACCAGATTCAAGGAGGCCATGGAGAAGACTACCAAAGATCATTTCAAGGTTAGACTCAAAGATACCATATGCTAACAATTTGAAAAGCAGCTCAAAATTTTGATGTAGCCAAGTCGTGTGGATCGGTTTTTAGGGGACGACCTTCGAAAGCGAAGCGCAGTTGGCAGCAATTCAAACTATCAGATCAATCTCAAATTGGCTGTTTTGGCAGACAGCCACCCCGGCTGGACCAGGACCCAAGCACAGCCAAAACCTGATGCGCATAGGCAGCAAATCCACACCAGAAATCAGCAAACTTCAAGCTGCTGCTACTGCAAGGAAACAAGCCAGGGAAAAACTTGAAGGCAGAACAAGAACTGCAGCAAAACAATACATATACAACAATGATTACTGGGTTCCTACCACTCTTGCACTTCCAGCCACAACTCAAACTCTGAACAGCACAATCTCAAAGCCAAGAGTGGAGACCAAAACTAACAGAGAATCAAAAGACCTTGGTTTTGAAGTGGGTGATGGTGGTCATATTAGCCCCATGAGATGGGGAATACCGGTGTCGATATCGATGATTGCAACTGCAGTAATTCAGCTAATGGCGAGAGACGACGGTGCCAGCAGCTTGAAGGAACACATTGGGGGCTCTCTTGCACTGGAGTTAGTAAACAGTCACTGGATGCAGACTACACTGACAGGCATCACTTGGTATGTCATTGGAATGGCAGTGATGGGAACGGTAGAAATGATTGCAGGAAAGATTAGGCCTTAAAAACTACACAGAAAGTAGAAGCTGCATATATCGTTACTTCAAAAGAATTGAAAAGTACAAATGGATATGGTAAATAAACATTATGTATCTGCTCATATCTGTTTGTTATATTCCAATACATCATCAATAGACAAGAAAACAAATTATTCAACCTTATTGACCATAATAAAAGGACTTCATATCAGAAACAGCTATAGACCCTCTTCAGAGTTTCATCAATGATCCTGTGTTTCAAGAAGTCATAACACAAAGTCACAAAATGAGATGCAATGTCTTAAATCTAACATCGTCAACAAGAACTTGCACGACATCTTAGTAGCGATATTGGTTGAAGAGTAACTAAACCACGTCTTCAATGATATCAATGAACTCCTGCTTATCCTTGAGTGCCCAGTTTATCTTATCGTTGTTTCCAGCACCAAAGATCAATCTCATTATGTGCTTGTTCCTAAAGAAGAACATGACAGTGGAATGATCATACAGCTCGTACATTGCGTTGAAATCAGGAACCTCTATGATATCGACAAGATATATTACTGCAAAGTTCTTAATCGTCTCGGCAACTGAGGCCAACACTCCATCCATCTACATCAAAAGCATATCAATCAAATAAAAACATCTCAAAAAATGATATATTCAACCATACATAGCAGATATAGATAGAAAAAGGGAAAGAGAACAAAGATGATCATTATAATCTTTAACATTTATGATGGAACTACTCTGGGCTCAAACTTTGATCAGTCAGCCACAACATTTAAATACTAGATTAAAGATAAACAGGCAAGTGGGTCGACGACAATTTTAATGAAGCAACCTCATGTCTGGTACAAATGACAGATTCATGTGCCAAAATATGTAGGAAGGTCTGATTATAGAAAACGGCTAAGGAGCACAGTTGCAGCAGAACACATGACAATAATAGAGAAGCCACACACACAAGGCACCGAGGTCGTGAGTTCGAATCCTCACCTGACACACGTTACCTGCAGAAGTTAGATCACTTGTTTCTACTCATATAAAATTATCTTTGGGTATAGGAGCTTAGGCAGGGGTTGGAAATAAAGTATGTAATATGTTATCTACTCTTGTATGTATTTTGAATTAGTCTGCATTTTCATTGTTTCACTTACAGCAGTAAGCTCCCTCATGTGCAAAAGAATATGAACTGACATCCGTAGCCAACCAACCTGAAGCATACCATCGACGCCAGGGATGTCGAGTCCAGGGGCTGCGACATCTGTGCATAGAAGGACACCACTTGAGAGGGATACAAATGAGGCTAGTGCTTCCTCCCTAGTGTTCTATTAAACACAAAAGATATAAATCATCAAAATTCATTGTATGAGCTCCCAAGAATGCAATTATACAGAACACGACCTTCGAAAAGTTTCTTGTTTCATCTTTCCATGTATAGGGATAAAGAAAAACCCCCTTTCAAAATGGTAAGCCGTGGTAGAACAACTCCCCCAACTTGCCTTTTCTTTTTGGCGTTGTTATTAGCAAGAATATGGACAAGTTGGGTGGACTGTTGTCTGCTTCCCATTCCAAATACTGCAAAATCAAAACGAAAGGAAACCAAAATTTGCTTACACAATAATTGCTTTCAAGCATGTGTGCAATGTTTACATACAAATCCTACATTTTTCTGTCTTGTAATTCAATCCACACGACATGAGTATCGGTAAGCTTTTATGTATAGCCGATCATATAGGAAACCTAGGGTCTCGCCAGATACGCACCAATCTTCTAGAATAAATGATCGATAAAACCTGCAAAACATAAGATAAAGAACTGTGTGGCTCTTGCCACACAGGCGATTTGTAGTGTAGTAAAGAGTAGGTATTTAGGCATACCTTTAGGGTTTGACTCGCCCTCCTTCGAATCAGGATTTACATTAGTCGAATCCTATTCCCTCCAGGATTTACATAAATTGAATCCGAATGTACTCAGATGATATAGATAGAGTGGCCTCATGCTGTATCCAGGCCCGAGACCAAGTCAACTTGGATCGGGTTGTGCGGGGGTCAATGAGAACCGATCAGGTTTTCAGCCATTGGACCGAGAAGATCTCAGTGCAAGCACTGCTCGATGCTGACCCCGGGTCGGCTATGGCTGGCCTGAGTTGCCGGGTCCCGACCCACTTACCTTGCTTCGCGGGTCCACTCCTTCTTCAGCTCCATTCCTCCTTTTCGGTTTTTTAATCTGATCTTCATTTTCTTCCTATAACAATGTATTTTAAAAACCACTTCTTTTCTCACAAAAATGGATTTTGAATTACTCGCTTGTCTATTTCTTCTCACTTTTTTCTTTAAATATTTCTCAAAAGTAAAAATTTTTATGAATATCACCTTAAAAATTTATTAGACCTATTCTAAGAAACACTTATTAAAAAAAATTTCATCATTATGTGTATAATAAAAACCACCCCACACCAGCCCCGTGCATGTGTGTAATAAACATTTAAGTTAAGATTTTTTGGACTAATTTTGTTATAAGGAATTTTTGTTAGATTATTTTCATTAATTGAACCTCTAGTATTTAAATAATTTATTCATTATTAAAAATTAACGTTCAACCTAATGTAAGGGATATAATAGTTCAACCCATATGAAAAAGAGGAAAAGTTGTGTGAATGGATTCTTTAATTTGGACACATATTTATGTGAATATAGACAACTCCCACGTTCTTAAAAATAATATACGATTTTCGCACCTACAATCAGGTGTACTTCCTCGTCTCTTTACTTGTTAAATGTTAATATAAACATCAATATTTTAACCATTTGATCAAGAAGTAATTGTAAACTTCTCTAAGTAATCAAAGTTGTGTGTTAATTTAGAAAGAGAAAATGTCTAGTATGATTGAGAAGAGTTTGTCAATTTAGTCAAAATGACTGCCTAATACAATCAAATACCATGCTATAAAACATCGTACTATAATAATTAATGTAGCAGGCAAGTCATTTTTGGCTAACAAACAATACTCTTCCCATCATACTAAACCGCTCTTCCTTTCATCTTCACGCAGCATCTCGCAACAAATTATCAATCCATCCCCATTAAAGAAAGAACGAAAATTAGGATTTATAAGCTGAAATAATCAAAAGAAAGAATCTAACATGAAGGGGAAGAATTTGAGAAGGTAAGCCAAAAGATGACTTCCTACTTCAATGGAAAACCAAACAAAAAAGGTCAGATCCTCAAGTATTTTTGCAGGCAAGTCATTTTTGGCTTACCAAACAATACTCAACCCTTCATGTTAGATTTTTCTTCTTCTTCTCTTGCACTCAAAGAGTGGTTGAACAAAGAGATTTGTTTTCTCTCTCTCTCTCTATATATAGCCATTATATTATTCTTTTTTGATTTGTTTGACACATGCATTAAGGAATATATTCTCTTTTGGGTTTGCATGGTTGACTCAAAAACTAGCTAGAATTTTGCTATCTTACAATTTGTTCCTTTTCATGTAAGTCAACTGCAGTTGACATCACAAAGTTGCTTAATTTTATCTTCTCCATCGGATAGTAGTCAACTGTAAATTGTTTAATTTTCAGGTCAATTTGAACATAGCTCAACCAATTAAAATATATATCACATTCGAGATCTATCCTCACAAATTTTTGTACTAAAACAGTTGCTTAACTTGTAGGCTGTAATATTATTTGGCTTGAATTTATGAGTCGAAGGCATGGTATGTGAAGGAGAGACTGTTTTTAAATTAATTAAAACTTTTATTTGTTTTCTATAATATATATACATAGTTAGGTATTTTTACATGTCATTTAAAGTGCTAATTAATTAAGGTTTGGTTTTAAAAATTGGTAGTGTTTAGGTAAAATTTCAAAATGCGGCACTTTTTAAAAATTTTAATAATTAAAAGTGGTTTGAGAATTATAAGGTTTTGATTTTTGAACATTCAGGAAAAGTAAATATCATNATTATCGTTGAGATAAGATTGATATATATATATATATATATAGTTTTAAAATTTTAAACGAACACTACTAATTTATTTTTCGTCAAAACACCCTTTTCCTTTTTTCTTTTTTTTTTTACAAAGAGACCTAAAATACTCACTAAATTAGTTAAACTATTTTTAAAGGCGAAGTCCATTTTATATATTTTTTTTCCTTTTAAAAGATTTATTGTGGCTACCATCGAGATAAATTATTTTCAAAAAGATTACTTGTGTGGTTGAAAAAATAATTAGCTTAACAACTATGGAGTGTATTGGAGAAATAGGGATGGTTTAAATTGTTTATTTCTTTAACATAAATTCATTCCATACCATATAAATTTATTTTTTGAAAAAAGTCATAATTTTTCATATTTGTTTTAATTAAATATAGCATAAATTTGAATTCTCTAAGTAATTTTTATATTACATTTAACTTTGACTTTGATTTGAATTATGCTATTTTAGGTAAAATTTTGAACTTTATGGGGGCGAACTCACAATCTCTTGATTTGAGTGATGCTTGTTTTGGCGTAAAATTCTAAACTTTCTACTATATTTAAAAATTAAAAATTTATAATTTTACGTTAATCATGTAATTTGTTCCTCTTTGTTTAATTATTATTGTAGTTCATAAATGCATTCCAAATTCGTGGTGTTTTAAAACACTTCAAAATTCATGCTTGAAATCTCTCAAAAGACAATCTCATTCGTTCTTGTAGGGAATTGTCTTTTGAAACAGATGATTTTAGTCTTAAAACGCATTCTTTTTTATGATGCATATTAATGGCTTCAAAGGGCTTCTTATTTAGGTTATTTTTTTATCGTTATTTAGAGTTTCATACTTGTTCTTTCACACACTTTTATAAAGATCTATCTTTTATCACTTTAAAATTTTTTTGAACGACATGAAATTCGATGAAACTTAGTTTTTACGATATCTCCTTCTACCTTTATACTCTAGAGTTCAGTATCAATTCATATATATATATATAATGTATGGCATGTATTTTTATTGGTCAAAAGTGGGCTTCTTTTTCTTTTTCTTTTTTAAATCTTGGGGTTTTTCATATAGTAACTAAAAACCACCAAGAACTCAATAGCTTAAACCCTTAATTAATTAAATCCGTTTTAACCTCATTATTATTCAAAATTAAAAGTCTAAAATGACCAAAAACCAAGTTTAAACCATTTTGGAGAGAGTGGTTGGAGAAGTTCTCAAAATAAATAGTCAACTTGCATGCATATTTTTCCGAGCTAGCTCGAGAAAGAGAAGGAATGATTAAACAGAAAATCAGAGTGATCCTTATAGATACAGGAGCATGCTTTAATCATATGCATATCTCCTTAGCCACAGATCTAATACCCTTAGATCAAGAAATAGTTACAAATCATGAAAACAAGATAGTTGTACACAGATATAAAACAATCGAAACTATTAGTTTTGATTCACACCTAAAAGTAGAAATAGAATTCATGATAGAAGAAACTGAAGATGAAAAAGATGTCATGTATAAGAACATGATAATAGGAATGAATACTTTAGACCAATTAAATTTTTCCATACAAAGAGATTTCATAATATTAGAAGAGACAAAGATCCCAAGAATTAAGCTTCATTTCTTAGAAACAGAAGAGTTAATTCAGAAATGGAATTAGAAAAGTTCGATGAATTGTTCGAACAAACAGAAAACACAGCAGGTTATGCTGCTAATGTTCTAATAGAAAGAGCAAAGATAGCAAAAGTAGAAAAGGAAGGAAAGATAACCCTAACAGAAAGGAAATAATATTAAAAAATCTTGGATTCCACAAGGAATTAAGAACGAACTAAATAGAGAAAACATAGTCTATTTAGGAAAATTCATACACAGTAAAAACTAAGAAAGCTAAAGGAAGAGAAGCCTTAAGCGTAGTCAACCAAGATAAGCAAGATAAGCTATATACACATAGGAACCATTCAAATCTTGTTGAAAAGTACATACAAAAAGGGAATTCGAAGTCCAGTCCAAATAATTATAATAGATGAAAGAATTCAAGATAATAAGGATAAAATTATAGGAGGAATAGAAGGTGATTTAGCCTATACAGCCGTCAAATTCGACGTCAACCTACAATATGCAATACCTCTTAGTACCAAGAATTTAAGTCAATCCGTAGGAATAATGTATAAATTCTTAAGAACAGATCTCATGGACGAATTAGATGAACCATTTAGTGTAACCTACGCAGCTAATTATGCGTTGACAAATAGTCATCACTCCTTACAGTTTAAAGACAAGGATCAAATAGAAATTGCCAGAGGCCTTAGGACAGGCCTCAGTTAAGACAAAATTAAGATCATCCACAACTAGAATGGTGTTTAAATTCGTTTTCCACGTCGAATAATTATCTCCAGTCAATTTGTCAGAGACAAGCAAAGAAATTAATGTAGACATGGCTGAAAATAAACAAATTATCTATGTTAGAACTTTCCAAAACTTTTATAAAACCAATCACTTTTAGCAAAAATAGAGATAATGAACCCTAAAAATTATCAATTTTGCAATGATACTCCAGTGATTTATAACAACAGCTACCGAAGGGTAGTCAGTTACTCCTACACTGAATTGAGACAATCTCAGCTAAATACTACACCAAAATAACTCTTATTCCTATAATGTTTTAGTTACCATTTATTTGGTTTAGAAATCATTAACTACCTTAATAATTTCTTGTAAGTGTAGTTTAGATCCTAAAATTCTGCCCCAACACGCCCACCAAAGGATAGGATAGTATTAATGTAAAAATTGAAGAATCCTCTCCATTTCTGGAGTTTTCCTTGACAACGATTATATGCAAACACCTTCTAAAGGGAGGATGCTCCCAGGGCACCACAACACCGAGCATGAAGCCTATCGTTGCAAACTAATGAAGAAGACCGTAGGATATGTTGTCACATATCCTTCTCTCACTTACTTTAAATATTTTCTCCATTCACCATGTAAAAGATTCTGTTGTTTCATCATAAAATAACGCTGCACCAAATACCACTAATTCTTTATGATGATTCGCTCCAACGAATAGTGCAAACGGTAGACCAAGTTCATTTGTATGATATGTAGTATCAAAACAAATAACGTCTCAAAAAAAAAACTCATGATCACAAATAGAACGTGCATCTGTCCAAAAAATATTAACGATCTTGTCATCTTGATCAAGTTGAAATGCATTAAAAAAAAAAAAAAAAAGAAGGATCCCACCCTTTTGTCTTTCTCTAAAATACTGTAAGAGTGATGTAGCTTCCTCTCCTTTCCAAATCTTGTTTTTTTCTGTGTGTATAATTTTCCAAATTTTCTACACCACCAACTTTCCTTCTCATAAATTCCATGGTTGTATTAGATGAACTTCTTGATCCGTCAGCATCATAAACTTTTTTAGTGTTGGAAACGTTCCCATTGACACTTAAAGCATACTTCATTCGTGTTCTACCAAGATCATGATTGTAATTTCTATTAAAAGACAGTACTGACCATTCTTTCCAAGCAGGCATGTTAACTGAGATCATGATTTTAATTTCTATTAAAAGATAGTACTTTGTATTGACCATTCTTTCCATGCAGGAATGTTAACTGAGCTTGGCACCCTGTTCTTGAAATTGGCCGAGTAAACAAAACATTTTCTCTTCGTTTGTCTACTTGGCGAAACCCCTCTTTAAAAACTGCTCTAGAAATAACTCCATTCTTTTTCTTCTTACGATGGTTTTTCCTTACACTAAAACCAACTTTCACTCCATAATTGACATAGAACTGATATGCTTCCTCAATAGAACCAAACTTCATCCCAATTCCTGGCTCCATAATTTCAAGTTCAGTATTGATCCTAGACTCTATATTATCTTCCAAATCAAACTCAGAACTATTACACACTTGCCCATGTAAGTTTGCATCTTCCATCTTCCCCATGTCTTCAAGAAGAAGAAAAAGAAAACCCAATAGCTAAAAGACAGAACCAAAAACAAAGCTATACATATTTGGCACGGTAAAATTCCAGAGATTCTAAATTTCTAGTAAACAGAAGATTAGCATAATAAGTGCCTAATTTGGTGTTCAATTACCAGAAAGTTCTTCCAGCCTCTGGCGATCCACCAAGTAAGCAAATCCATAAGCCAAAGTCTTCAGCGTAGCCTCGTGCAGGTCCTCGTCCGCCGTCGCCGTCGCGTCCGTCGAGAAGAACACTCTGTAGCCCCTCACAAACGCCTCACGCGCCGTCGTCTCGCAGCAGACGTTGGTCATAACCCCAGTCACAATCACCTCCTCCACGCCCTTCGCTCTCAAGCAGTCCTCCAGCGGCGTGTTCCTGAACGCGGAGTAGGTGTTCTTCCGGATGACCTCGTCAGCGGCGACCGGGCCGAGATCGGGGATGAGGTCGGCGGCGGGGGTGCCGTCGAGGATGATGTCGCCGTTCCACCACTCGCCGAGAATGGGGTTGTCGGAGGGAGAGGAGTGGGCGTGGCGGGTGAAGATGACGGGGATGGAGGCGGCGCGGCAGAGGCGGATGGTGGCGAGGACATTGGGGAGGATGGGCTTGGCCATGGCGGAGAAGTAGTTCTGCATATCGATGACTAAGAGGGCGGCGATTTTGGGATCCGGAAGTCTATGGCGGATCTCGTATTTCTTGTATGAAGAACAGCTTCCGGCGGCAGCGGCCATGGATTTTTGGTTTTGATCGACGGCAAGGTGAGTCGATTTTCTGTTGATTCGATGTTCTGATTTTGGGAACTGCGAGTGGAGAAGAAGAAGAAGAAGCCGATCAAAAACTTAGAAATCTTCTAGAATGCTCGTTTCTCTGCTCTAACCCTAGCATTCATGTATAAAGAGGAAAATGTTAAATTGTGACTATTTATTATACATAGTTATCAACTTTTTATTTATCCACTTAAATATATTCAATTGTGGCTATTGTTTGAAGTAATTTTATATTAAAATTTCTCAATTAAATCAAATTTATTAAAAAAATATATATTGGAGTGTCATTTCTTATTTCTTTTTTAGGTTGATGTATGTTAGATTATTATTCTATTAACAAATTTCGTCAAGTGGATATAGTACTCCCATAAACACATGAAATCCAATTCAACTCAACCGTCAAGAAAAAAAATCATTCCTCACCTAAATGAAATGAAAAATTGTATATACAAAAATGAAAGTTTAAGACAAATTTGAATTAATTTAGTTAAAACGCCTATTTCCGATCAAAAGTTCGAGAGTTCGAATCTCCATCCTTTATATTGTTGTATTTAGAAGAAGAGATTGAAAGTTTAAAGAAATTGCTTAAAAAATCTATTGCTTCCTAATGCAATATGCTATAGGTTCAAATATATTAACAAAAAATTTAACCAACCAAGTTAAAATTGAAAATTTTAAAAGATTAAGATTCAAAGAGTGAGAAAATACTTGAAGAAAAATGGTGCACCCTCAAAATTAAAGTGGGATTGAATACAATTTGAGCCACATGAGTACATTTTCTACATGTATTCCTGTTAACAAAAATGAACATATTCTTTTTTATAGATCGATGACAAAATTGAGATATATTAAAAATTAGATTGATTATGATTATCAAAATGAGCCTAGTTCATAATTGACACATATCTCAAATAAGAGATATTTGAGATATGCAGATATGCGGTACTTAAAAAAAAATTATGACTTTTCTTATAGAAGAAGGGTATAGTGGGAAGTGAAAGAAACAAAATAAAAGACGTGGCGGTATAAAATTGCAACTACCATAACAACCACGGGGTTGGCCAGTTTCCATCTTGTTCTAGAGGCTTCGGTAACGCTGCAGAATTCCTCCATTAAAACTCAGAGCGAGGTTTCTTTCTTCGTTTTTGGAGAAAGAGAATCAGAGAATTGAAGAATTGGAGTAATGTCGTACCTTCTACCACATCTGCATTCTGGTTGGGCGGTGGATCAGGCCATTCTCGCCGAAGAGGAACGCGTCGTCATCATCCGCTTCGGCCATGATTGGGACGACACGTGCATGCAGGTACGCACATTACATTACATTTCTTCACTTCAATTCTCTTTTCAATCCGTGTTCTTCGCAAAACATTTCTGAAATCCGTATTTGAGAAAACTTTTTGTTTGGTATCAGCGGAGAATAGAGGCGACGTCATTGTAGAACTTAGAAGTTGAATTGATTTTGATTCATTGATTGATTGATGATTCGGAATGAAACAGATTGAAGAAAGAAACCCTGGAAGCCCATTTCCCCCAATTTTCCAACCCCGTGAGATTTGGGCCCAAAACTCATCGGCCCATTGAAATTCCCCTTCCTTCTTCGAATCGATACTTCTGCGTGAGGGGTTTTGTGTTGTTAATTGTTCTTTTGTTCAGAGAGAGAGATGTCGTACTTGCTGCCGCATCTTCACTCCGGATGGGCCGTCGATCAAGCAATTCTCGCCGAAGAGGAACGTCTTGTGGTAATTCGTTTCGGCCATGACTGGGACGAGACCTGTATGCAGGTCTTTCTCTTTGCCCCTGTTCATCATCTTAACCCTAACCTTATTGCGTATTATCTTTTTTTCAAATTCCTTATTCTTCTTCTTGCTTCGAGTGAACCCAATTTGTTCTAGTCTCGTCGTTTTTAGTACTCGGGAGTCTCGGTCGGTAAAGGGTTTTTGGATGTTCTTCTTGCTTGCCTCTCAATCGATTAATTTCTTAAGAATCTAAGATTAGTATTGGGGAAATTCTCCTTACCCGTACGAGTTTGTGCTGTTCTAACAAATGGTAGCCTGATCATCTTCTAGTTCTATTCATGTGTTCTTCTGCAACTATGCCTCTTAGCCGTATTTTGGCTACCAGAAATGAAGTTCCTTTCATTAAAATTGTCATCGACTGACTTGCCCATTGATCTGTAATCTTGTATTTAAATGTTGTGGCTGTGAACATGGGGTTGTTCATGTTAGCAGACTGATCAAAGTTTGAGCCCTCAGCCCTTCCATCTCTTAAATGTTTAAGATTATGAAGATCTTTGTTCTCTTTACCTTTTTATATCTATCTCTCCTCTGTATGGTCTGAGTTTATCGTTTTCTGAGATGTTTTCATCTGATTGATATGTTTTCGATCTAGATGGATGAAGTGTTGGCCTCAGTTGCAGAGACAATTAAGAACTTTGCAGTAATATACCTTGTGGATATCACGGAGGTTCCTGATTTCAACACAATGTACGAACTCTATGATCCTTCCACTGTCATGTTCTTCTTTAGGAACAAGCACATAATGATTGATCTTGGTACTGGAAACAACAATAAGATCAACTGGGCACTCAAGGATAAGCAGGAGTTCATTGATATCATTGAAACCGTCTACCGGGGAGCAAGGAAAGGACGTGGTTTAGTCATTGCACCCAAGGACTATTCGACCAAGTATCGCTACTAAGATGTCGTGCAAGTTCTTGTCGTTGATGTTAGATTTAAGACATTGCATCTTAAAAACATGTACTATATAACATTGACCCTGCTGAGGATAAAGGTTAAGGTTTGTTTTCGATGTCAGTTTGTGTTATGACTTGTCAAAACATTGAATCATTGATGAAGCCATTTTATTATGGTATGAAAAGGTTGAAGAAGTTGTTTTCTTGTCTTTTTGACTCTGTTAAGTTTGGACTCCACTCTTGGCTTTGAGGTTGTGCTGTTAAGAGTCTGAGTGATGCTGGAACTTGGAAGTGCAAGGTAGTAGGAAGGGACGGGTAGAAAAGTAATTTCACCATAACTATTTTTTAGGAAACGGCCCAAACTTGGAAGATAAAAAACCTTTGGGGTACAGAAATAATAATTTTCAATTGGGCTGATTATATATAAACTAAAAGGAAAAATAAGAATTATTTTAAAAATTAATGTAAAATAAAATGAAATTAATATGCTATTTAGTTCCTAACATTATTTTGTTTTTTTAATTTAGTCTCTGTTAGAACCTTTTGTGCTTTGATATTTTTTAATTATACCATCTTTCTTTATTGAATGACGATAAATTAACATGACAAAATTCTGAGCAGAGTTAAAAAAAACAAAAGAAATGAATTAAGCCACTTAAAATTGAAATTTTGAAATTTTCCTACCATGTGCTTAGAAATTAAATTTAAAGGAAGAATTTATCATAACTCAACTCTACATTGATCCTTTCAAAATATATATATATATATATATATATATAACATTGACCAACGTAAATGGTGTAATTAAAAAATGTTAAAATATAAAGAGTAAGATTAGATTTTTAAAAGATATCATAGTTACTAAGACATAGTTAGCCTAAAATATTTTGATGGATCAATTTTGGACGATTTTCATGATGGGATTAAGTCTTTCTTGGGTGTTCGATTTTGTAGACTCAAAACTCTAAATCATAACTATAAGTAGTTCATCTTAGTTTACACATGCATATCATTTGAATTTATGATTTGAGAAATTATTTAATATGTTTAAGATGAAACACTCTCATCCAAACATACCACAATATAAATAAGATATATTGATTTGCGATTTTGGTCAAAGTGATATATCAACCATGTCTTACTTACGTGTAGTCCTTACGTGCTTTACTAGCAACCCGAACTTAAATAGAATACAAAGAGATTGTGTACCTTTGAGAAAGTGAAATTCTACCTTTTTTATATAAGGGAGTATTGAGAATCGAGGCTCTGCCACTACCACGACTGTACTTTGGTTTAAGTCTTTGTCTCAGTGAATCGGAGTCGTGGTGAGCCTCGATTCGATGACACGAGTACCCTTCCTCTTTGCCTTTGGTGTGTCCCATGTAAGACGTGGATATACGTGCCCCTACAAGTTAATGATATTGTTGAAGTCAAAATATAAATATTCACTCACAAGATATAAAAGCAGACCAATATTATATGTAAATAATACCAAGTTTAATTAGTCAAATACAACTTCTAAAATTAAAATTTATGAACTATCAAATAAATAACAAAATACTGTTAAACGTAACGTAACTTAACAAAGAGAATGTTCAACGTATTTTAATTTTTAATAAATTTGGGTTTGTAAAGTTTGGATTGAGAATTTGAGTTTGCGAACGTTTTGTATCATGTCTGTTTCGGTTGTTAAAAAACGTGAATTATAAAATTTTATGTGGTTTGTATTTATTTTGGATATTTATGATTTATAAATACTACTTAGGGCGAAGATAAATAATCCGGAGATGATTTTGAAGTGAATACAAATAGCTGTTTTATAGAACTTTAAGTACAACTAATTTATAAATAATACTTAATAAGTTAACTAATTTACGAGAGAATCATAATTAGAAGAGGTTATAACATCTTATTTTAAAATATTTTTAAAATCTAAATAAAGTTTTGAAAACTCAAAAAAGAAAATTGTTTTTTTGTTTTTGAATATTGATTAAGAAGTCAGATGCATTAAAACAAAAATAAATTAAATTAAAGAAGAAGTCAAAACGTAATAAAAGTGAAAATATACCAAACCAAAACAATTAATAAACGATACATAAATTAATAAAAGAAAAATAAAATAATTATCAAGAGAGAAGTCACTTCCAATATTACGAATATCAAAAAAATATTTATCTAATAAAAAGTTTTAAAAGATAACAATACTTAGTACTCATCGGATAGCACGTATTATTTTTGTTTACCTCCCTTAAAAATTTGGTTTTCTATTTAAAAATAATTTTAAAAAATATGTTAATGACTCTCTCCATTATTCTCTTCTATTTGTCTACACATTTAAACATTTTCAATATTATTTCTCTTCGATATATATATTTATAGCATCTATATATCTATATATGAAGCCCAAGCATGAAAAGTCATAAAAGAAATTGCACGTAAAGCACAAAAAAAGCAACAAAATTTAAACATTTACCTTAAATACAAAGCACTTCCTCCAACACAATATAATAAAGGAAAAAAGAATAATAAAAACTTATATTGCCGCCATTCACCTCCTTCTTCTTACATGTCTATCTAATAACACAAACACATGCATGCCTACCAAAAAAAGTTAATTAATCGCCATATTTAATTATTTATTCATACACTCCTTCTTTATCCATTTGAAAATAGGTACTTAAAAGATTTTAATATGAAATTTTCCACTCTAATATTATATTAAAATCATTATCACTCGACATAGAAACTAACTCTTAGTATTTCTTTTTATTAAGGATCCATGTTTAAAAGAAAATAAATTTTATAATTATTTATAATAAATATAGATTATTCCTCTCTTTATCAATTTATTTTTAGATGAAATATGAATATTGATACTTTTTTTCAATAGTTAGCAATATTAATTAAGAAAATTGACTCTACTAAGTTGGTCTTAGATTTAAAAATGAGGTGAAAAGGTTGAGATTTCTATTTTTATATCTACGATATTTCCCTCCTCAAATATTCATATTTCAATAATAATGAATATGAAATGTTGTAATGTAAAATTTTGTTATTTTTTAACTTTTTTACTTGCCGCTAAATTTGATAGCTCCTTAATTTTTTCAGTTGCCAGTTTTTTTTAAGAGAAAATACTAACTTTTTGCTTGTAAAATTTATCTATGCTGAACCTTTTTCAAAATTTGATGGCCCATATTATTTTCTTTAATTCGTTTTTACTTTTAAATTTCTTTCTCTATCTGGGTTTGTCAAATAATTATTTAATAACGGTGAGAGATAGATTTTCACTCATTAAAATAAAAATGTTTTATTCATTTTAAGAATAAAATTGAGATGTTTACGATTAAATAGATATTTTTTTACCCGTCTACCATTAAAAATTAATAACTATATCTATTCTATTTTCTCGTTCTTTGTATATGTATCTCCCTAAATTTTCAATTTCCTAATAATAATAAGTAAGAAATATCATTCAACAACATTGTCATAAATAAAATTTTAAATATCGATATTGATGGAAATGTCAAGGTTTCAATTTTATGGAAATATCATAAAATGTAGACGGATATTTCTATCCAAATTAAGAAAGGAAAAAAATTTAAAAGATCATTTAAATTAATAAATAAACGTTTTTCCTATTTTTAAATAAGTTAAAAATAATTAATATTAATATTATGTATATATTAGTGAGATTTTGTTGATATTTTTTATATTTTGTCGATTTTTTTGTATTATGATAAAAATATCGATTTATCCCTCGTTCGATGTCGAACCCATGAAAATATGGATATGTGAATCAAAATTTCTACATATTTAGGGTGATAAGCAGCCAATTTTATCTAATTTTAAATATTTTATGGATAAACACTTTGAACATTATTGTATTAAAATATTATTTTGACACCTTTCTCCCCCCTTCATAAATATCTTCTTCCACCTCTTCAAAATTGATTTCCAGCCTTCATTGAGATCAATCACAGAGACAAAACTTGGATTTGCGTGTGTGCAGTTTTCTCTCTCTTATCTCAAGCTCCTCCATCAATGGCGGCAAATGGGTTGGATTTAGCTTATGCCTACAGAAGAAAACCCCCTTATTCTCCTTCTTCTTCTTCTTCTCTGCTCAACTCTTTTTTCATGTCCACCGTCAACGTCGCCGCCAATTCTCTCGTCTCCGTCGCCTCCAATACTAAAAATGAACTCTCCGGCCGCAAATGGAGGCCGGCCGACCACCTCCGCTTCATGCTCATGATAACCTCTTGGGTTACCGTTTGGCTTCTTAGGATTGTCATGGATTGGTCCCCTTTCTCCCTTCTCTCCTCTCGCCGTATTCTCGGCGGCGGTGGCGGTAGCGACGGTGGTGGTGGTGGTTCTCGTTTGTTGGAGTATCGCCCTTTGTCGCCTTTGTTGCTGTCGTCGTCGTCCTTGTCGTCGGGTTCGGCTCTGACTCATTCGCTGTCGTCCTCGTCGTCCTCGTCGTCGGCGTTGGCTTCGCTCTCCAAGTTGAATTTGATTCCTTATGAAACCTTCGACTTCGGCGGTGCTTCTATAAAACCGCTCGGCCGAGCGCTATCTCAGGTACGCACGCCGGCTTTTTAACCTCTCGATTATTGTCAATTATTCTGGATTATTGTAATTATTAAATTTATGTTAATAAATTAAAAAAATTATCGGAGAAGGTTAGAAAGTATTATTGCTGAGTGAGTTTGTTAAAAAATTATTGGAGAAAGGTTAGAAAGCGTAATCATGTACTGGACAGGACCATTCGATAAATTATACTGATCCAATAATATGGTTAAAATCTTTTTAAGACATATTTATTCGAGTTTATTAATGTTGAATAATAATCTAGATGTTTTATGAAAATTTACGAAGATTTTAGAAATGAAACTGGAGAATTTTAAATTATAGAGATTAAAATTAGACTCCCTGTTGAAATATGATGATTGGACTATCATTTTAATCTTTTCTTTTTTATACTTTTTAATTTATATAAATGAACCAAGATGATGTTCCAGTTAATGGGGAGGATATCATATTATAATTTTGGGAAGTAGTAAACTTATTACATTACAGAGGATAAAAATATTAGGCCTCAGTTGAATTAGATTGGCTGTTTAAAGAGAAGCCCCAAAATTTTTAATATAAGATTTTTCTAATGATAGGAAAAAAAAAGGTCCTTAATTTGCGATTGAAATTGGCCAATTATTGAACTTTCTTAAAATTTTAAAGAAAAAAGAAAGTTAAAATGTCTTTCGTCATATATTTTTAAATAATAAAATTAATAATGTTTATGTTTCTTATTTTTAATAAAGAAAAATAATTTGCATCGTTAAATATCTAATAATTCAGTAGGATAAAATAATCCTTTAATTTAAAGTTTTCAAAATTTCTATACAATTTTAAGATGTCAGCGAAATTTTTTATACAATTTTAAGAATATTCTAAAAAATAGAAATAAAAATATATTTAGTTGCAATAAAAATAATTTGCGAGGAAAAAATATTACCAAATGAGTCCTTGATGTAAATCTTAAAATAGTTTTTGCTTGCTTTTTCTAATTTGAAAAATATAATCACACCACTTTTTTTTCCTTAATAGATCATGTTATTGTTTTTATTTGGAAAATTAACTTCAACAATGAACTTTTTTTTTTTTTGGATTAATACATGGGCTAAATTTCGACGTTTAGTAGCATGTGGACTAAGATGCAATAACAAGCTTCAAGGGACTGCTTTTTTAAGAAAAAAATAAAAGTAATACTTTTAGCTCCTGAATTTGATATTACTTTGGTCCTAAATTTCAAAAAAGTCCGATCTTTAAAAAATAATTTAAAAATTGTAGAACTATTTTTTGAAATTCAAAGATAAAATAAAAATCCATCTTTAAATTAAAATTGTGTTGAAAAGAAAAAATAACATTAATTTGGACGGATAAGGTTTGCTTCCCCTTGAAGTTTTAAATCTGTGATACTTTCCGACCGCAACGCAACCAGACGATTGCGGGGCGATGCGTCGGCGCAAAATGTTAGTAAGTGCGCCACGTGTCATGTTCATGCGGTCGTGAGATGTCGTGTCAGTTTCGCTTCTTAGTAGCTTGCGGTTCTCGCCACGTGGACCACCTTCAAGAAACCCGGCCCACGTGGTTTGGGAATGTTCTTTTTTCTTTTTTAAGTTTGGCAAATTTCAAGAAGTAGATTTTATAATTAAAAACTAATTTAATAAATTTGGAAATATTAAATCACAAAATTGTTTGGAATTAAATTTTAATTTGATCCATAATTTCAAGAAAATTTAATTTAACCCTTTAATTTGAGGGTAATATTAATTTAGTCCTTTTAACTTTTGAAGTTTTGAATTTAATTTCTCTTAGATAATTTAAAATTTACAAATAATTTTACCTGTTAGACTTTAAATGTTAATTTTAAATCTTAAGTTAATTAACTAATATGGTAAACCAAATGAAAAAATATAATTAGGAGGAAAAATAAGAGAAGTGAGATTTAAATTAGAACAATACTTAATTAAAAGCACAAATATCAACATCAAATTTAAAAAATACAGAGAGAGACCTTCGACCTTCGTGAAATTATAGCCATGACATTTGAACTCAATTTAAAATAATAGCACCAAATTGGTAATTTACATTTGAGAATTCGATCAGAAAGTTTTTGGTTCGAATCAATTTGGGAGTAATGTTTTTTTTCTTTCCAAATTGGTAATTTAATTACATTTGAGAATTCAATCAGAAAGGTTTTGGGTTCGATTAAATTTGAGAGTAATGTTTTTTTTTTAATTAAATTAATGGCGCAGATCTTCGCGATTCTGAACGAGATGCCGGCGAGTTCAGGGAAGTACCAGTTCGCGATGGCGATGGCGGAGAAGATAATGGAGGAGAACGCGCGTGGCGGCCAGATCGAGCTCTTGGAGGTCAATCGGACAGCACTGGCGAACGGCTTCGCGCGGACTTCTTCTCTCCTCTACGAATCGCTCAATCAAACGCGCCGCCTCGAGGAACGGAGAAACGCCAAGCCCTGGCCGTCGCGGATCGTCGGATATCTCCCCTTCGGATCCTACGTCACTCCCTATCTCAAATTTGTAGATCTCGCCGTCACTGCCGTCGGCGCCATCGTTCCCAAGGGCGGCGCCAGATCCGTCTACGGCCAGATGCCGGAGTACGCCGGCGATGTGGCCGCGGAGAAGCTCGCTCAGGAGTTGCTCTGGATGACGCACAAGCTCCGGGAGTACGGAGCCGTGGATGAAGCGATTCTGCAATGGAGCTTCGCCGGCGGCCTGGCTTCCGCCTCCTTCGCCTGCAATCCCAGAGTCCAGTGCTGTTTCGTCAAACTCTCAGGTAATTAAAACAAAATATATTTCAGTTTCTCAAAACTAACTACGGTTCAAATTGATCATCGTTGTTCTTCCAAAATCAGCGACTCTGTTTCGCGACCTAGCGAGGAGAGAAATGGAGGAGCTTATAACGTCGGAAGTGAAATTCAGGATGCTGTCGATATGGCTGCCATTGCTGTGCCACGCTCAAAACGGATTGGTGTATCCGGCGCTGATGAGGTACGAGAAAGACGAGACGGAGAGAGCAGTGAACCGCGTGATCGGAAGCTTGCCGCCGATGGATCAGGAAGTGATTCTGACAAATTGGTTCCAAGATTACGCGATTTCGGCCTCCGAGTGGCCAAATCTGCAGCCTTCTTACGATCTCTGGTGCGATTCCACTCGAGAACTCGTCGCCTGGGCAGAAAATCAGCCGAATCGAATCGAATTTTGAAATCAGCGGCGGAAGAGATTGAAGAGTAAGGATTTAGAACGAGGGGATTAGGGTTTTAGAATTGTGATGAAACAGATATATAAATATACGAATATGTGTGTTGTTTCATATTTGATTTGGTTTTTTTTTTTTTTTTTGGTGTATAATAATTAAATAAAAGTGCTCGTAAATGCACTTAATTTGATTAGGTCATTGATTTTGCTCTGTTTAGTTTAGATTAGAAGACTTGGAAATTTGGATTAGGGGGAGTATTGAGTTATATATATTTGTTATGAGATTAGATAATTTTACAAATAATTTTAAATTATTTATCTATTTTGAAACAAATAATGTAATACGGGAAAACAATGAAATAAGAAGCTTATTCATGTAATTCTTTTTTCTGAAATAATTAATTTAGTTCCTTGGTCTTTATTTATTAATAGAAAATTAAATTATAATAAGTTTAAATTTTTAATTTAACCTCAAATTATATATAGTTCTGAAATTTTTGATAATTCATTTTAATTAGAAACAAAATCTGAAATCTGAAATTTCTTTAGATTGCAAACCATTATAATCCTAGCAATGATATGAATATCAAAATCCATTTAGAAATTGATTAAAAATCTCCAAAAATCTGTGTGAACCAAATTTACATATTAAAAATCTCTCTCTCTCTTTCTCTATTTTTTTATCCTTTTTTTTTACATATTTGTTAATATCGAATATGTAATTTTCAAGAACTTATGGGAAATATGTCATTTGAAAAAAAAATAGTAGTAATTTCTTAAAGCCAGTAAAACAACCATTAGTTCAAATAACTTATAGATTGACTATGATGTTAGTATATGACCAATTAACCTTATAAATTGTCAACATCGACTTAGTTCAACCCGTCGTTCAAGCATTTTTCTCCTTTTTAAAGGTTGAAGGTTCTATTCTCTATCCTCACATTTGTTGTAAAAGAACGCTATAAATTATTCAACCATAACATTAGTCTATATGTATATAATCAATACACATTGATATACATGTATTTTCATACATATATTATCCATTTTGATATACATTAAATGATATACTTATCTTTTTTTAAAATAATTTTTAGCATAATTATGTATTTTAAAATTTCAAATTTAAACTAAGAAAACACTAAAAATATAAAAATAACGTTGTTTTCACTCTTAAAAATAAATATGCCAAATTAATATTTACTAAATTAATTTGATTGATGGATGTGAAAATAATAATTTCGTTGATTGTATAGCCCTGGTTTTGTTGTTTTCCTCAAATTAAAACACCATGACAAGGTCCACATAGATTATTTTTAATTTAAAAATCCAACAAGTTAATACTCTTTTTTTTCTTTTCCAAAATTTGAAAATTTAAAAGAAAGCGTCAAGCGTGGACTTCGTGTTTGTTTATGTTTAAAAAAATAAAAAGTTGAGAAATACCATCAAATTGGGACATATTCTTTCACTTTATAAATTTCGACCAAAAGTGGAGGGAGTATAATCGTCCAACAAATGTTTAAATATTTAATGGAGAATAAATAAGAATATTATTTCTTTTTTACCCACATTTTTAAATACAGTCAACAATAATTAACATATATCTCAAATTTCGATCCCCACTCTTACATGTTTAAATATTTAATGGAGAATAAATAAGAATATTATTCATTTTAGCTATTTACTGTGTAGGATTTCATTTTGATTTTTATCACAAATTTAGGACAACATTTAACCCATTAAATTTTTTGATACGTAACCATAAATATGTATTAAAGGATTTCCATTATGTATAAATTGTGTGTTGAAATTTTACAAATACGAATCAAACGTTTCAAAAGTACGTGAACTAAAATGAATAAAAGTTGAAAATATAAAGACCAAAATATACGTTTTGAAAGTATAGAGACTAAACTGAACCAAGTTTATCATATTATTTTAAATGTCGATGTCGATGGAAATATTGAGGTTTCAATTTCATGGAAATATTAAAATATTATAAAAAATAAAATTTGTAACAAATTTTTAAATTAACAAATAAATACTTCACCATTTATTAATAGGTTAAAATTGATTAGTTAATAATATGTTGATTTTTGTTAATATTTTCATATTTTGTTGATTTTTTTCACAATACTATGGAAAATGTTGATTTGTAAAGATGATTCGGTAGCTATCTCGTCTTTGGATCTATAAATGATTCGAGCAATTTTAAAAGTTCCTAGTTTCATAGCCTCATACTATGTCGACCTCCTCTTATTTGTCATCATTTAATATCTCGCTATGTCTCCTACCATTTTGATTCAAGTACCTCTATCTCCTAATTTGTCCTATTTTTTTTTCTTTATCTTCTACTTATTTTGTATCGATTATGACGGCTAATGACACGCTTATGTCTTTACTAGGCGTTGGCTCAATTGTACACATCTCATGTCCCTCTCCAATGTTTATAATATTCTTAATCTTACCTTGATTCTTGTATTTGTTAGTCAGTTATGCCCGTTTTGATATTTAGTTTCGGATGTGTTTGGGAGTGATTTTGACACGACCAAAATCACTTTTACCATTATCAAAATTACTTTCATTTTCATAGATCATGTTTGGCAAATTCGAAAATTAATTTTAAGAAAACTTAAAATCACTTTAAATTTAATGGCAAGGTATCACATATTAGATGGTGATTTTAGAAAATTTTATTTTCGATAAACTCAAACTAATTAGATGTTGCAGCTTCTAGTATGTTATATGTTATCCTTATTTCGCTTGAGTCACATTTCCTCTCAGGTCAAATATATGAACACGTGGACGAAAATTTAATCCTTTAAATGATCGTATAGCATTTAAATGTAAAAAAAAAATTTAAATAAATGATTTTCGTCGAGAGGGAAAAAGAAAAGAAGAAAAGAAAGAAAAAACCCTTATACAAGTTTTTGGTTGTCAAATTGGTTTTCTTTTTTCTTTAAGGGTCGCTCCGTTTGTTTCTCTCTCGCCTCTCTCAAAATCAAAATCAAAATCAAAATCAAAATCAAAATCATATATCTTCGTCGTCTTCTCAGATTCTTCGTTAGTATAATTTCTTCTCTGAAATCTTCGATCTTTCCCTAATTCCATTCCCTCACTTTTCCTTCTTCTTCCATTTGTCAATTCCCAAATCTCCTTCTTTTATGGAGAACGAAACCACCACTAACGCCACCAAATTGGGTTCTGAGGGAGTCAAGCCCACCGCCACCACCACCACCACCGCCGCCGCCTCCTCCGACCAAGAACTCGACCCTAATTCCAATGCATCGCCGTCTGCTGCAGAGCCCCAGAATGAGGGAACTGGATCCGACTCCACCTTGCTTCAACCCCCTTCTCGCCACTCCTCCAGAACTCCCTTCACTAATCTCACCCAGGTCGATGCTGACCTTGCCCTCGCTCGTACCCTCCAAGAACAGGTTCTTGATTCATGTCACTCTTTCTAATTTATTCCTCTTCTGTCTTCAATTGGGTCTTCTGTGGGCTGCTGCTGTTGAACTGTTTAAAGGAAATTCTATATTGATTCTGTTTCCGTGCGAGTTTCCAAGAATTTTGGTGGCATGATGGACCGAATGGTCTTCTATTTGGTTTCCCAGTACTAAAGAACTATCCGGAGAGTCTGTTGTTTAGGTTGTGGATTTAATTTTACTATTTTGGTTATCTAATCATATTATGTTGTTCTTGATTGATTGCCTTCGTTTCTTGCCCCGACGGTATTTGACTTTTCAGTTTACTGCTGGGTTTGCATAGGGAAGACTTGGGGAAGTTGTTCACAAGCGAAACACCGACGATATGATGAACATGCTTTTATTACTTTCTTTTATATATTAATATCGATTAAATACTTTGTTGAGCAAATGTACGGCAATAAACTCAACTTGTTTGAATCTCGATTTGATACGGATGCTTTTCCAACCCGTGTAGGGAAGGGGATATAAGATGCATAATTGTCTCTCTCCAGTACTACATTGTCGTTCAGTCAGAACATTTTTTCTAAGTCTTGTATTTTGTCTTATCATGCTTCTAGTAAATAAAAGAGTGGTGATGGTTCTCCTCATCTAACTTGCACAACACAACATGGTTGTATTGGTTATTATGTTGTTACAGTTTCTATATATTAAGGTTTATATTGATGTTCTCAATTGGGCAGGAAAGGGCATACCTAATGCTTAGAATGACGAATGAGGGGAGTGATTTTGGAAGTTGGGAAGCTGGAAGTTATGTATTTGATGATGAGGACGGTTTTGGTGAACCCCATGATCACACAGAATCTGATGGGGAAGATGATGAGTTTGATGGAACAGATATCAATGATGATGGCGACGATGATGATGTGTTTGATGTGCATGCTCATGAAGATGGTGGGGATGATAATAACCCCAACCTTGAACTTGATCCAGGTAATTTTTCAAGTGACGAGGCATATGCTAGAGCCCTACAAGATGCTGAAGACAGAGAAGAAATGGCTGCCAGACTACTGGCCCTTGCTGGATTACAAGATCGTAAGTATGCGTGGCCATGGGGGTCCATTATTACTTATGTGAAGGTTTCTAATTCATGTAAGACTAAAGCCTTTTGTTTTACTTTGAAATTGTTGCAGATGAAGCAGATGACTCGGATGATCAAGGTGAAAATTCCCAGGTATTTCCTTTGATCTACCTCCTGATTCTATATTGCGTTTAATTGGTCCATTAACACTTAATACGTTTGAGTCCACTTAGAATTACTGAAATAGACAACAATGACTCTGAAAATTCTTACTCTTGACTGTTATGAACTGCGTGGAATTGATGCCAAATAAGGAAAATCTTATGTAGAAGACCTTGTTATAGCTAACTTTTCCCTCTTTAACATATGATGTAATGTTATCACATTTTTTAAGAATTTGTTTTTGGTTGAATTAAAGGAGTTCCTTTGGATGATTTTTGGGATCTTATTAGATTATGATGTTCCTTCTCTGAACCTTCTTGTGATTATTTTTATTTGATCTGCACAGATTGGCATGCTTTTTCGTAGTTCCCTTGTTCTTTGACGAACTTCTTATTTCCTTTTCTGTACCCCCTTCTTCTGATTGATGATACTTCTCTTTTCTATGTCAACCACAGATACTTCTTTAGAGAGTGTTCATGAGTTCCATGCTTCCTATGCTGGTATCCTCCGTTCAAAAGTGCTTCTTCCTAGAAGATGTATTCCTAAATTGTCCTTAGCAACATTTTTTTTTATTCTTAGCGACATTAACTAGAGCCTCAAAAGCAAAGAGGAATTAGGTTGGGATGTTAGGCAAAAATGGCTAGAGCCAAAAATCCCGTGGAAATAGCCGTCACCTTTCACATTTTCAGCTTCACGAGAATCTTTCCAATTATAGAAGCCAAAAATATTTACCTCGAAATTTTCCTCCTGAAGGCTGCTCAAGGCACTTAACTTTGGGGGCCTTCATTTAAACCACGAGAAAAATATTCAGTCATAGCAGTTACTTTTTTCCTTGACTTGCCAACCCCCAACAGTTGATTTCTGCAAATTTTCTTCGAACCTGTGCTTAAAGATTTCACCACATAAAAAATTTATGTACCTTGGCTTTATTTTCAAGAGAGAAGAATGTATCATCATCTACAATATGTGCACAGTTGAAGGCAATAGTCATATTTGTTGATACTAAATCCTGCAAGAAAGTTAGTTTTGAAGCTCCCTAAAAAGGACTACCATAACAGTTCTGGACTGGAATAAAAAAGTATGAAGATAGAGGATCTTCCTACCTCAAACCAGCTCAAAATCTTCCCGTTGGGCTAATTAGGGAGAATGAGAGGCCGGGGGTTTGGTAAGTGCCCACTAGTTCACATTAAGCCTTTTTTTGGGTCGACCCTTTTTTTATAATATATATATGTGAGTGTCTGTGTCCTCATGCACACTTCGAGACAACTATTTGATCCTACATTGTTTGGTTGACATGTAGGATATTAAAATCCTAGGTAGGTGGCCACCACGAGTTTTGAACCTATTCCGTCTAAGATACAAACTCCTCTCTTGTTCCTCTAATCATTAATTATTGAATTGCATGAGCAATAAGAATAGGATTCAAAATTGGCCCATAACTTGCAAAAGCTGTCTAGAACACCAAAGAAGTATTTGGGAGAACCATTTTTTAATCTCTCTGCTAGAACTTCTGCCACAATTTTTTTGAGACCTATACTACAGTGAAGCTAACATTGAAACTTGTAACAGCTTGAAAATCAATCTGTTTGTACCTTAATAAAAAACTCAGTCAAATAGCCTGTCAATCAATGAAGATATAGCTGTATTTTAGATTTCATACAGCCATTCAAACATCCTCTTTGAAAGGGGCAATAACAGCCCAAGAGACGAGTTCCTCTAGAGACCTCTTGATGAAACTCTTTCTTCATTTGTTTAGGAATGGAAATCTTCAACCTTCCTGAATTCAACTTCCATTTTCACCTTGTTAAAACTTGGCCATCATTACCTATCGTTACCAGACTTAATGATAAAACTAGTCCTATCATCCCCTTCTCTGAGTCATTCTGTTACATAAATGCAAATCTCTTTTAGTTGCCACATCCATCGGCTAAGTTTTAGAGTTTTCCTTCTTTTCAATTTGTCCATCATGTTGATAAGCCCCCGTACATTTTACCTATGTGAAGAGGAAGTAAGCGGATGGGAAAAGCAATTAGTTAATTATGTGGGAGAGAGTGTGGACCCTGTTTGTAGGACCTGGAACAGACGTGGGATAGTTCTGTTGGGGGATAGTATATATAGTATAGGTAGCACCCTTACATGATTAGTGACATTTTTTGGCCTAGATTCCTCTAGGAGAGGAGTGAACCAGGCCTCTTGAAGCACTTGGGATTTTTTTTTTGCATGTTAGTTTTTGTGAGATTGGTCACTGGAGGCCTATCACATTTGAACCTCTCGTCTCTATTTTATCCAAGAAAGAGATCTCCTCCTTGGGATCTTCTTTTTGAGAATGGTGGTAGGTATCAAAAGTCTTGCCATCCGACTTTTATGGTTCTTTGTAGCTTTCAACTTCAGCGTGAGGTAATGGCCTGTTGAGGGTGGTGGTTATAGTAGGATAGTGATTGAAGGTGACTCTGTTGCCCTGGAAGGCTGGAACTCCAGAATTATGAAATTTTAACAACATTCCATTGTGCTGACTAGACTACTAGAGTGAGTAATTACTCTGCGTCTCATACTTGACTAAGTGAAATTCCTGAATCCTGATTATAAAAGGCATGTCAACCAAGGGAAGATCTGTACAAGTCATCAAAAGTCTCGTCATTCCCACTGTGAATACTGTAGGTCTCAATACTCCTTCAATCTGTGTTCCAAATACCCCTTACACTTTTCTCATGTGGGCAGACTTGATTCCTGGTTCTTCTCAACTAACTCTCTCGGAGGAGGAGAGTTTATCAACTTTCCTTCTTTCTTGTTGGGCAACAAAATGATTGACTGAGGCCCTGATGCAGCGCACCTCCTTGATCTGTTCTCGAGTAATAGTAATACTGATGGGAGGAAACATCATACACCCCAAAGTCTTTTAGACTTTTTGGCTGGAAACTTCTCACTTTCTCACTAGAAGATTTGTGATTTCTTAGGCTTAAATCAAGCTACATCATTTGGTGGTTAACTTGCAAGTGGTGAACAACAGTGCCTTTTTGGCATTTGGGCTTCGTTCGAACCAAAAAAACCAGAACTGGACCTCCTGAAGAGGAATACTGAATTTCTCCATATCACGTCAGATTATTTCAACTTGTGACAGCTGCATAAACTTCAAGCCCTTAATGCTCTAGTTAGCACTCATCCCATTTTTTTTGTATAGTAAGATATCCTTAGACACATAACACATTCTTCTGATAGGACTATTCTTGCCGGTGGTGGACTCCAATCCGTTTGGACATAGACCAGTGGTTTGAAGTTTGCTATTGTCCTCTGTTGTCCTCCATTATTTGCAGCTAACACCCTGGCTGACCTTTTCTGCCAGTGAGTTGCTTTTATATCTGACGACCTTCCCTGCCAATTTAAAGCTAGATGTTAGAATGAGTATGAATTTATCCTGTTGTTGTTTTCCTTAAGAGCCTGCTATCTTACATTGGAATGAACCCAGTGAAATGATTTTTCAACTTGATGCCAGCCTTTATTAACTCTAATATACATATCATTTCATGTGTTTATTTCGCAAACCTATGAATTCAGAAGTCTCCATATACCCAACTATCAATTGGGATGTTTCCCACTTTTAATCCAAGTTCAACAAGGGAGGGTAAAGCAATGTGTTTCTAGGAATAGCGGCCTTGTTCAAATCTCAGCTGATGGTGGAGTCAGTCAACCAGTGCTTTAATGAATACAAAGAAGTTTTGTCTGTTGCCTATCATTACACTTCAAAAGATTTCTGCTCCGGTTGAATGGATTAAGTGCACAATGAGGAGTTTTTTGCTCTTGCATAGTGCCAAGAATTTTATATCAATCCTGATAGGATCTCCTCATGATTACTGTGGTGTGGTCCCACTTTAAAGCCAGCTAATTCATTGGACTTGCTCTTTAAAGCTTCTGATCCTACCCTTTTTCAACCCTCAATAGCTTCCAAAAGCTTCCTTTTTCCTTCATAACTGCGGGCATATGAGTTGATATTTATGTCTGGATCAGAAGGATAAATATGAGTTGATATTTAGACTTCTATCATCAGCAGAAAGCTTTTCTATCCTTCCCGATCTTTGCTTTCAGGTACTACCATGATAAGTTTTTTCTTCTCAGCAATGTCCAGCTCGAAAACTTCAGCTAACTATGCCCTCTTGGTTGACATTTTCTCAACCCACCAAGCGTAATAATTGCATCCCAACACCCATAGAATCTACCACCTCTAGGAAATATTAAGATGCTCCTTAAGCCAAACAACCAGACAATGTGTGTGAAAATTCCACTTCCATAACTCAAACAATTCCTCTCATAAAAAAACTACAATAAAGCTCTTTTTCTCAATCCCCACACTCTCAGAAGGGAGAGAGTGCCATTTATTTCGACTAGGTCAGGCATAGAATTAAACTCATGTTAATCTGAACATCTTTTGAATCCTCGTTGCTCATCTAGGATTGATTTCTAGTTTTTTTTTTTTTTTTTTTTTTTTTTTTAAACTATTAGCTAGGTGTTATTTTTGCTGGAATGGAGTCTCTTTCTTTAGTTATAGATGGGCTCCATTTCTTTGCGCTGTTTTTAATATCCCCTGTTTTTTTTCCACAATGAAAAGTTTGGTTTCTTAAAAAGAACAAATCATCCCCAAACTGTAAATTGTATTTATGTACTTGTTGGCTATAGTTCATTGAATCTTTGAAATTATTTCTGTAGCTTTGAAACTGTTTATGGCAGAGACTAGTTTGACCCTCGAGGACTTAATTGATTTATTGTTTGATTAAAGTGCTCACCTGAGTCTTGGTTTGCAGGATACATGGGAGGACGTTGACCCAGATGAACTTTCGTACGAGGTGAGTTTGGCTTGGTGGAGTGAATGCCCATGCTTTTTTTATTGCTTGTTTCTGAGAGGATTGTTAATATTTCAGGAGTTGCTCGCATTGGGTGAAGTGGTAGGAACTGAGAGTAGAGGGCTATCAGCTGATACAATTGCTTCCTTACCCTCCATAAACTTCAAATCAGGGAGCGGTCAGACCGGAAGCAACGATTCGTGAGTGATTTGAAGGAAATTTGGTCTTTTTTGCCATTATTATGCTGCTGCTTACTTAGCTTTTGGCTCTCATGTCTCAGGTGTGTCATTTGTCGGTTGGATTTCGAGGATGACGAAACCTTGACTGTTCTTTCTTGCAAACACTCCTACCATTCCGAGTGCATAAATAATTGGCTAAAAATAAACAAGGTATGCCTGTCTACATTTCTTTATACGATTGTAATGATAATGGATGTATAGTCGAACGAATGGACCCGAGATAACCGAAAGCTTCCTGTTCTGCAGGTGTGCCCTGTTTGCAGCGCTGAAGTCTCTACTACTACCGCTGCCGGGAGCAGTTAGTTGTAAAATGTGTACCAGATCAACATTAAATCACGAAGGATCTTAATTTCTGGTTTTTTTCTTTTCATCTTGCATAATACTCAGTTCAGTTCTCTACAACCTGTGGAAAATATCTATTGTGGGTTCATACAATCTTCGGTTTCATTTTGTAAACCAAGCCTAGGAATAATATTAGTATTGCTTTCTTGATCATAATATGAATCTTTTTTTCTTCTTTTTCTTTTTTGGGGTTTCTCACTTTATCCCAAAATTTCCCCTTGGGGGATGAATCGTATGTTGATCATCCTTTGTACTTCTGAGTGAATTTTCACTGTTTATGGCCATGTCTCATCATAATCATCTTTAATGTCTCTGTACCATGTATTTGATATAGACTCAGATTTACACTATACATCGCTTATTTATTATCACTAATCAAGTATAATGTATATATTTAGGAGATCATGCAATTTCTTGAGAGCCATAAAATAATATCATCTTTTTTTTTCAGCTTTGTCATAGCTCAAACTCAAAGACTACATTTGAAGACTAATAATATTTTCCTTAGAGACTAGGTTAATAAAAGATTAGTTTTAAGTTTGGAAATTTGAACTTGTAACGTTCAGAAAATAAGTAAAGTTATTATTGATCTTTACTGGTCTAACTAGTCGAACTATGTTTGTTTGGGCTAGCAATACAAAAATTTACTCGTAGAAAATTAAGCAAAAATATCATTAAAATAAAGCATACTTCCATGAGGTGAGTTTCTATATGAATATACCTATCAGAAAGACATACATATGATACTTTATCGTAAAGACGTTTAAAAATCAAATGTACATAATTTACATATATTTTATATAAAAATGTAGTATAATTTTCTATCTGCAAGAGAATTTTCAAACACGTGATTTGAATCATTTGATCATTAAATTTAAGTACATAGTTTTAAGAACCAAAGTACAAAGCTATAAAGACGTTTGAACCTAAAAATCAATCTCTATTTTAATGCTCAAATTAAATTATTAATTTTCAAATCGATGCAGAAATCCTTTGAAAAATAGAGATTAAATTTTCCTCCTAAAAGAATAATAAAATTTGTTGACATAGTGAATTTATTTTAATATCTGAAAACTTAAAAAGGCTCAATACCAGAAATGAAACATGTTAAGTTACACGTGGATTGAGACGACAAACGCAAAGGTTCTAATTTGTTCAATGGCTAAGGTGTCACTAACATCGTTAAAGTGTTGTGAGTTTGAATATCCATTCGTGTATTGATGATTTTTTAAAATCCATTTTTAGTTCATAAGAACAAATGAAGACTACACCTTTTCTTCACAGTCAATCGAAAAGAAACGAAATGAATAGGCACATGAATATGAATTTTAAGGAACGTGAACTACCCTAAGTTGACACTAACCGTCCATAACTCAAACATGTAACTTTTTAGAAGGTAAATATCTTGACCAATTAAGTCATATCATATATCTAAACTCGTAAAGTGTAGAGCATAATGAATAAAATTTCATATCTATAAAAATATCTTCGTTTTATTTTTATAAAAAGAGAAAAAAAAAAACTCAACAATGTAACATAGATGATGAAGCCATCTTTAATCCTAAAACCTAATCACAATCTAAACTTATCCAAAATTTACTCCAACACAATTCATTTTCTACTCTAGTACAATTCCACGAATAAAACATCATCATCCCAAAGGAGTTGGAAAAAAAAAAGGACAGCAGTCTTGAACTCTAAACGATTGGTAAGGAAGACCGAGTAAAAAGCTCAGCCACTGTAAGATTTCTCAACAGAAACAAAAAGACTGTTATCTTGTTATTCCCAATATTAAGAGATAAGCGAAAACTTGTGTGTTACCATCCAAGTGAATTCATCTTAAAATAGTGGCTAATGGGGGAAGTTTTCTAAGTTTAGACTGTGAAAGAAAGTGTTAATCCCATAATTTTAGATCCAAATATGTTAAAAATAGCCTCCAGTTTTCAATGTGAAGCCCCTATATAAGCACCCAGCTGAGGAGTGGGGAAAACAAGCTCCGGGGAGAAGTTGAATAGACCCAATTCTTTTCATAGGAATGACATAAGAAGGGATCTACATTTTTTGTATTAATTCTTTCTCTTTTGTCTCAGTGGATGTAAGGATCTATCAGATTCTCATATATATAACTAGTTATTGTTACTATTTATATATATACAATCTTTCTGATTGAACTGAAAGATCCCCAACAATCCACTGGTGAAATCTTTTTAGCCTTCAATTACCTAACAAAACTTCGAAAGAATTAATATAAAACTTATTTTATTCACAGATCATTATCTATCTAGTATCTGTATTCATAATCCCTTCAATTCTTTTATAAAAATTTGAAAGAAAAAAAATGGCTGGAGGTGGAATTGTTGTTCAGGGGGGAAGGAACTATGAAGGTGATGTCACAGTATTTGTCATTGTCACCTGTATGGTGGCAGCCATGGGTGGTCTTCTCTTTGGTTATGATCTTGGAATTTCAGGTTTGTTTTCTCCATTTCTGAACTAAGTTTGATTTCTATGGAAGAATTTGATTTCAGTTTATGTTTCTTATTGTTTTGTTTTTGATGAATGTTGACAGGTGGGGTGACTTCTATGCCCAGTTTCTTGAACCAATTTTTCCCATCTGTTGTGAAGAAAATGAAGGGTGCCCATGAAAGTGAGTACTGTAAATTTGACAGTGAACTATTAACGCTATTTACCTCTTCCCTTTATCTTGCTGCTCTGGTGGCTTCCTTCGGCGCCTCCGTCGTCACCCAGAAATTCGGCCGGAAACCATCGATGTTCCTCGGCGGTGTTTCCTTCTTGATTGGCTCTGTCCTCAATGGCATTGCTAATAACATTGAAATGCTCATCTTCGGCCGGTTGTTGCTCGGTGTTGGCGTTGGATTTGCCAATCAGGTACTGCAATTACAGAAACACACAGCAAAAATCATTCAATCAATTATTCAACTATTCAATTCCATTCAATGAAGTCTCAATTTGATTGTTGTTTTTCATTTTGGATGCAGTCTGTGCCAGTGTACCTTTCTGAAATGGCGCCAGCCAAAATCAGAGGAGCTCTGAACATGGGCTTCCAAATGGCGATCACCATCGGCATTTTGGTGGCGAATCTTGTTAATGTCGGTACAGCAAAAATCGCAGGTGGATGGGGATGGAGACTCTCGCTTGGTCTCGCCATTGTCCCTGCCCTAATGATGACCGTCGGATCCATCTTCCTTCCCGATACTCCCAACTCCATTCTCGAACGAGGACACAAAGAGAAGGCGAAGAAGATGTTGCAGAAAGTTCGCGGCACCGACAATGTCGACGAAGAGTTCCAAGACCTTGTCGACGCGAGCGAATCTGCAAAGAAAGTGGATAATCCATGGCAGAACATTCTCCAGCCTCAGTACAGACCTCAACTGATCATGTGCTCTGTAATCCCCTTCTTCCAGCAGCTCACCGGTATCAACGTCATCACCTTCTACGCTCCGGTTCTGTACATGACTCTCGGATTCGGCGACGACGCCTCTCTATACTCCGCCGTAATCGGCGGCAGCGTTAACGCCCTCGCAACCCTAGTCTCGATCTTCACCGTCGACAAATTCGGCCGAAGAATCCTCTTCCTTGAGGGCGGATTACAGATGTTCGTCTGCCAAATCCTCGTCGGAACCCTAATCGGAATGAAATTCGGACTCAACGGAGAAGGAACCCTATCGAAATTCGACGCGAACCTGATTCTATTCCTGATCTGCGTGTACGTCGCGGCATTCGCCTGGTCCTGGGGACCGCTAGGTTGGTTAGTACCTAGCGAGATCTGCCCGCTCGAGATCCGATCCGCCGGACAAGCGATCAACGTCTCCGTGAACATGTTCTTCACCTTCGTGATCGCTCAGGTGTTCTTGGCGATGCTCTGCCACTTCAAATTCGGATTGTTCTACTTCTTCGGCGGATTCGTGCTGATAATGACGGTGTTCATCTACTTCTTCTTGCCGGAGACGAAGAATGTTCCGATCGAGGAGATGAACAGAGTGTGGAAGGCGCACTGGTTCTGGAGCAAGTACATTCCGGACGAAGCGGTGATCGGATTCCGCCACGATGAAGATGGAACCGCCGTTTGAAACCTCCAGAGAAGAAAAAATTCCATTCTCCGGCGCTCCCCGGAGAATTCAAGAGCTGAAATGGGAAAAACAAACTATTTTTATGATTTGATTATCATATCATACCATTCTTCTTCCTCATTGTTGTGCTTTCAGAGTTTTTATATGTTTCTGATGATGAGGCAATTGTTTTTCTCTATGTACATTTCAACCTTATATTAAAATATATATATTATTTACCTTATTCATGCTTGTCCGCTTCTTTTTTTTTCCATAGGATAAAATTTATTCGTCATTGATGATTAGATATTTTCTACTTACCGCCGTCAAAAATTGAAAAATGTCGAGGACTTATCTTGTGCTCTCCTATTTATAAAAATTCGAGAGCAAAGAGATAGTTAGGAACTCCTAACTTGCTTTATAACTAAGCTATACTTTCTATGGTGGGTAGTTCCATATTGGTTCTACTGCACAAGTATTTTGTGTGGGTTAGTTAGCAATATCGAATTTTAATGGGGGAGAATATCATGACCATACTACAATTAGTCTATACGTTTTAAAAGTCCGAACAGCCAACCTATTTATGGGTTGAAAATTCAAATTATCTATTCTCATTCTCATAATAATAATAATATAATAAGATTATATACTAGAAAAAAAAAAGCAATACAATTAACACCCTCGCAATTGTAAGGAAAAAAAAAACAAACACAATTGACCATATTGAGAACCTGAGATCATGTCATGTAAAACAAAAACTATATTTAGGCATTCACTATTACTAGTGATTGAAAAGAGATCTTTCACTACTACAATTCATCTCATCAAAAAAAAACTAAACCATCAACTAAAAAATCAAGGACTCAAATCTATATATTTGTTACATGTATATTGTTGTTGATGCAAAATTCTACTGAGCTATCGAGGTCGGCCACGTAGCAACTGGCCAAGCTGACGAGGTGTTTTTTGTTCGTAACGAGGGAGATCTCGAATGGGGTTCTTCACGAAGTTCGAAAGAAAGGAATAAAAAAGACTTTCTCTATGGCCTCCTCGTTTTGAGACATTATGGCTTTGGGGTCGACCCCGGTAACAAAGAAGGAATCCATAAAAACTTCGGAATAAAGTAAACATTCTGACGCTCAAGTCAGTATAGGCGCGAGCTCAAATAGGTCGTTCTCGGAGTAGAATTATATACCTGAGTAAGAGGAATGAAAATCATTTTATAGGCAGAGTGAAAGGACACGTTCGTTATGGCCGTTACGACAAGGCGGTCAGATGTCGGACCATAGGTCGGCAATGATTGATGTCGACTATGGATGAGCTCAAGCTCGACTAGAGCTTAGAGCTCGACAATAGGTGAGCTTGGGAGCTCGGCCATAGGTGAGCTTATGAGCTCGGCAATAGGTGAGTTTATGAGCTCGCTAATAGGTGAGCTCATGAGGTCGGCAATATGTGAGCTAAGGAGCTCATCAATAGGTGAGCTCATGAGGTCGGCAATATGTGAGCTAAGGAGCTCATCAATAGGTGAGCTCATGAGCTCGGCCATAGGTGAGCTTAGAAGCTCGGCAATATGTGAGCTAAGGAGCTCGGCCATAGGTGAGCTTATGAGCTCGACAATAGGTGAGCTTATGAGTTCGGCAATAGGTGAGCTCATGAGCTCGGCCATATCTCGCCACGTGGTACGTCATATTTTTGTCTCCAACATTTGCCCACACTTTGGTAAGTTAGAAAGCTAACTTGTCAAAGGACTGTTTCATAGGTCATATTAATATGTGGCGAGATCTATGAGAAGTTTGGTCATGCTCACTTTTCTGTAAGGTTTTGTCGTCAAGACTTGAGCTAAATTTTGCAAATTTCGACTCTAGGTGGCCCGGTCTTCAAAGTCGATGTAATCTTGGTTAGTCACTCTTTGAAGATTTCAATATATAATGGCGATTCATTCTTTTTAACCTAAGTGAGTTTTGATGAGGGCTGATCTTTCATGCCGAGATGAGCTACCTGGTGGGAGCTCATCCATTGACCGTTGTGATTAGCTATTTAATGGGGAATTCATTATTGAGGTCAAAGTGAGCTACCTGAGAGCTCATCGTTGAGGTTGAGATGAGCTATCAGATAGTTATTCCTTGATGTCGAGATGAACTATTTCGATGAGAGCTCATTGTGTTGATGCCAAGATGAGCTACTCCGATAGGAGCTCATCGTTGGTGTCGATATGAGCTATTTTAATGAAAGCTCATCGTTGGGGTAGAGAAAGCTACCAAATAGGAGCTCATCGTTGGTGTCGAGATGAGTTATTTTAATGAGAGTTCATCATTGATGTCGAGATGAGCTGCTCCGATGGGAGCTCATCGTTGATGTTGATATGAGCTATTTTGATGAAAGTTCATCGTTGATGTCAAGAGGAGCTGCTCTGATGGGAGCTCATCGTTGGTATCGATATGAGCTATTCCAATGACAGCTCATCGTTGATATCGAGATGAGCTATTCTAATAAAAGCTCATCGTTGATGTCGAGATAAGCTATCCTAATGAAAGCTCTTCGTTGATGTCGAGATGAGCTATTCTAATGAAAGCTCTTCGTTGATGTCGAGATGAGCTACTCCAGTGATAGCTCATTTGTTGACATAGAGGTGAGCTATCTTATAGCTTTTCCATAATATCGAGATGACCTACTTCGATGGGAGCTCATCGTTGGGATTGAGGTGAGCCCTCCCTTCGCAAGCTATAGTATCTAGCCTGAAGGGATACATTCACCTTAATGGCACGTTGCTTGAGTTGGTAACTTTGAGAAGCTCGGCCAAAGAGTTCGATTCAGAACTTTGAGAAGTTTTACTTAGGTTGTGCCCTTGAGAGTTTGCGCATGAAGCTTTGATTTTGACCTAAGCCGAACGTTGGGTTTGAGATTGGAGCTTCCGGGAGAGAAAGTCATCCTCAAGGGTGAGGTATTCCTCTTGGAGCAGGTCTTCTGGGAGAGAAAGTGATCCTCAAGAGTGAGATCTTCTTTGAGGGGAAGGTCATTCGTAGTAATAAATTCTCTCTTGGAATAGGTCGTCCTCAAGGTGAGGTCTTTTTCGAGAGGGAGGTCATCTGTAGTGAGTAAGTCTTATTAGAGAGAAAGTCATCCTCAAGAGTAAGGTCTTCCTCGAGGGGAAGGTGATCCGTAGTGATAAAGTCTCTATTGGAGTAGGTCTTCCAAGAGAGAAAGTCATCCTCAAGAGTGAGGTCTTTCTCGAGGGGAAGGTCATCCGTAGTGATAAAGCCTCTCTTGGAGTAGGTCTTCCAAGAGAGAAAGTCATCCTCAAGATTGAGGTCTTCCTTAAGGGGGAAGTCATTCATAATGATAAGATCTTTCTCTTCAACGAAGATCTTGAAAAGCTTTGGAGGTCCACCTGATTGCTGTGAGTACTAGAGCTTTGAAAAATTGTGCGAGTCATAGCCTGGTTTGGTAGGAATGACTTAAAATTGTCGATTCCCACAGACGGCGCCAACTGTTGATGCAAAATTCTACTGAGCTGTCGAGGCCGATCACGTGGCAACTGGCCAAGCTGACGAGGTACGAGCTCATGCAAGGTAGAACCTGCAAAAATAAAGTAAACACTCTGAAGCTGAAGACAGTATAGGTGCGAGCTCAAATAGGTCGTTCTCGGAGTAGAATTGCATACCTGAGTAAGAGGAATGAAGATCCTTTTATAGGCGGAGTGAAAGGACACGTCCATTATGGTCGTTACGACAAAGCGGTTAGATGTCGGGTCATAGGTCGGCTATGGATGAGCTCAAGCTCGACCAGAGCTTGAGAGCTCGACAATAGGCGAGCTTATGAGCTTGACAATAGGTGAGTTTGGGAGCTCGACCATAGGTGAGCGTATGAGCTCATCTTATGAGCTCATGAGGTCGGCAATATGTGAGCTAAAGAGCTCGGCAATAGGTGAGCTCATAAGCTTGGCCATAGGTAAGCTTAGGAGCTCGACAATAGGTGAGCTTATGAGCTCGGCCATAGGTGAGCTAAGGAGCTCGGCAATATGTGAGCTAAAGAGCTCGGCCATAGGTAAGCTTATGAGCTTGACAATAGGTGAGCTCATGAGCTCGGTCATATCTTGCCACGTGGTACGTCATATTTTTGCCTCCAACATTTGCCCCAAAACTTTGGTAAGTTGGAAAGTTAACTTGTTAAAAGACTGTTTCATAGGTCATACTGATACATGGCGAAATCTATGAGAAGTTTGGTCATGCTCTCTTTTCTGTAAGGTCTTGTCGTCAAGACTTGAGCTAATTTTTAGAAGTTTCGACTCACTTCTGTAAAGTCTTGTCGTCAATTTTATTTTTTTATCACAATTTTAACCTAACACTACTTTAGTAAATTCTTTGAAATATTATAGTTTTATATATATTACTTAATTTTTGCTAGGTATAGAATTCGTACGAGAATTTTGGCAAGCATGGATCAAAAGTTTACTTTTGAAAATAGATGTTTTTGAAAGTATAAAATTACAAAATAGGCAATATATATTGACATGTCTTGAAGATATAAATACAAAAATAAATATTCAACCATATTAGTTAAATACATTTTAAAATAAATTCTAAATTAAAAATTAATTATAATGCATCACTTACACACGTGTCAACATGAAAATCTTAAAAGTTAAACCTTCTTTTACTCAGTTTTGAAAACTTTAAAAGATCCCATAAAGATAAAATTGGTGTAATTATCTTGTTGAAGCACGTGCTTATAAATCTAATGGTGTACGATATGTCGGACTTGTCTTGTACGACGTGGAAATAGACGTGTCGGTTGTCGTCATTTCAAATTTAAAAGCGGCCATTCTACTACCGTTGGATGTCACATCAAACCCGCCCCCCTCAATCACGAAATATACACCTAATTACAAATAATTGCAGCTACTTCCAATTACTTTTTTTTTTAGTTCTCGTAATTTTAATTTTTATTCATTTTAATTTTTATATTTGTAAAACGTTCATTATCATCGTTTTAATTTACCTACATTTCAAATGTTTACTTTGGACTATACTTTTAAAACTAATTATTTTAGTCTTTCATTTTTACTTTTTATCTTATTTATTTCAATAAATTTTTAACATGACATTTCATCTCCTAAAATTTTTTTTAAATGTATCTCGTATTAAAGGATTTTTATTGTGTGTATCAAATTTAAGTTTACATTTTGAAAATAAAGATAAAAGTTGTCACTTTTTAAAAATACATACACCAAAACGAACGTTTTGA